AGGAGGAGGAGGAGGAGGGGGAGGGGGAGGAGAGAGGAGGGAGGAGGAGGGAGGAGGGAGGAGGGAGGAGGGAGGAGGGAGGAGGGAGGCGGAGGAGAGGAGGAGGAGGAGGAGGAGGAGAGGAGGAGGAGGAGGAGGAGGAGGAGGAGGAGGAGGAGATGGAGGAGGAGGAGGAGGAGGAGGAGGAGGAGGAGGAGGAGGAGAAGGCGGAGGAGGAGGAGGAGGAGGAGGAGGAGGAGGAGGAGGACAATGGCGAGCTTGGGGACCTCTTGGGCCGTCTTTGGGGCCTCTTGGCGGTCCCGGGGGCCTCTTGCGTATCTCGGGGAGTCTTTTGGGGCCTCTTGGGGGTCTCCTGGGAGCCTCTCGGAGGCCTCCTGGGCGCCTCTTGGGGCCTCTTGGGGCCCTCTTGCGGCGCTCTTGGGGCGCTCTTGGGAGCCTTCGGGGCGCTCTTGGGGCCATGTTGAAGGAGATCTATCAAAGAAGGGGGGCCCTTCGTTCCTGATTTTGAGCTCCTTGGTAGCACGTCGACTGTAGCCCCAGCCCCCTTCCGGCCCTTCGCCCTTTGCCGGCCAGACGGCGCGGCGCCGAGACCCGGCATCGCAGCCCACCCCGCCCAGCAGCGTTTTGGCCACCACTGCCCCCGTGGTCTTCTGGCCACAGCTCGGCTCTCCGGAGGAGGCTGCAGCAGGAGGGGGAGTAGGGAGGAGGTGGAGGAGGAGGGAGGAGGGAAGCGGGAGGAGGAAGGACGGAAGACGGAGGAGGTAGGAGGAGGAGCAGGAGGAGGAGGAGGAGCAGGAGAGGGAGGAGGGTGAGGAGGAGGAGGAGGAGGAGGAGGAGGAGGAGGAGGAGGAGGAGGAGCCCCTTTCGTCGCTCCCCCTCGCTCCCGCTCCCCCTCTCCCCCGCCCCTCTCCGTCGGGGGGCGCAGGCGCCGAGACCCGTGCCCGGCGCCCGCCCGGGTGGACGGGGCATGCCGGCGCCGAGCCCTCGGGGGCCGCTCGCTTGAGGACCCCGCGCGCGGGGCCGCCCCACTCGAAGCGCGGTCGGGGCTCCAGGAGGATCGACGATCGAGGAGGAGGAGGAGGCGGAGGAGGAGGAGGAGAACCAGGAGGAGGAGGAGGAGGAGGAGGAGGAGGAGGAGGAGGACCTCGTGCGCGGGGCCGCCCAACTCGCAGCTCGGTCGGGGCTCCAGAGACGGGGGTCAGCCCAGAGGAATCCAGCGTCTTGAACAAAGAAAGCAAGCGGCCAGGCCCTGGGACCGAGTGGGTCCTGGGGAGTGGTTCGAGACTTCCGGGGACCCCGTATTGAAACTGCAAACGGGGGTTAGTCGGAGCGCCAGATCTTGCAGGATGCTGCATTGCCAGGGGTGCACTGACCCCGGCTTGGGTGCAGGATCCAGCAAGATCCCGCAGGATCCTGCAAGATCGAGGAGATCGAAGAACAAGCAACGGCATAAACATCGGCGTACACATTAACTTTTGGCGCGCCGCGATTTCTTGATCTGCGCTGGACCCCCCCTTTCGGCGCCTGCGGCGCCGCCCCTGGCGCGCTCCGCGCGTCAGGTAGGGGTCCCAACTCAGATCCACCAAACCCGGAAGGACCGTTTCAAGTTTTAGCTTATGCTGTTTTTTTGGCTCCTCCAGCAGAGCCCGACTGACCCTGGTTTGGATTGACCCAATTCAGTAGATTCCCGACTCGCCGGTTTTTGAATCCTCTGTCGACAACGGCCGTTGCCTGGGGGCGGGGCGAGGGGGGGGAGGAGCGGGGCCCGTATCGCCACGATTCGCGTCAGCGCCGTCATTGTGAGTCAGCTACCCCTGGCCATCTCTAGATGGCGCCGGCGCGGATCGTGGCGTTACTGGTGGGGAGCCTTGAGACGGTAGTCAACGTAAACGGGGGTCAGCCAGAGGGCCCGATCTTGCAGGATCCTGAAGGGCCAGGGGCGCACTGACCAGGGCTTGGGTGCAGGATCCTGCAGGATTTTGCAGGATCCTTCGCATTGACCCGGGTTTGGGTGCAGGATCTTGCAGGATCTTGCAAGGCCTGACTGACCTGGGTCCGGATCGACCTGGGTCAGAAGATCCCCGATTTGGTGGGGCTGCCGCGTCGCCGCCGCGATGGGGGTCGACCCCCGCAGATCTCCGACGATACGTTTTCTTTGTTAAAGCAGAGGATTGTTCCTGGATTGCGGCCCTGGGGGGCCGTTTTCGGTCGCTGGGACCGTTACAGATGCATTAAGGGCGGCAAAGGGGCCCCCGGGGGAGGGGTCGGGACTTTCAGGGCGGCGGATCGACAAGATCATTTCAGAACACGCGGAGAACCGCAGGATCAAGCAGTGGCGACGCGTCCGGGCTTGCCGGCCTATCGAATAACAGTTCGAAGAACGTTTTGTGGTTTGCACGGAAGGTTCATAGAGCAGGTTTGGTTGAGATCGTTTTGTTTATATTCACCGGTTCGATATGACAAGAACATGTGTTTGCATTATATTGTTTCTTTTGTTCTAAGGACATTCCGTGGTAGTCCTATCGGAATGCCAGGACGGTCGGTCCCTGCTCAAGAGGAGTCACGCGGCACGCTCGGGCAGATCTGGGAACTTGGTGCCTTGGCTTCTCTGTAGACTCTTCATTCCCTCAGGACAGGACGGCGAACTCCAAGAGAGCCGAGGACACTCCAACTCGTGCCTCAGGGTACGGTGGGGACATGCGGCTTTGGCGCGCCGGCGACGCTGGCGAAGGCGTTCAAGGTTGAAGTCTGACGCGGATGCGCCGAGGGAAGCGGTGACGCAACTGGACCAGACGGAACTCAACCTCGAACGATTGGGGCCGCGATCGATTCAAGGTTGAACGATCGACGCGATGTCAGAAACCTTTAGCGCGTGTCGACGCCGCGCGAACCTACCGTAATTACGGTGGCGGATGAGTTGGGCTTTGGGCTTGCTCGTAGGTGTCGTAGTCATTGGGATTCTCTGTCTGTCTTCCCAACATCTTGACCAGCGGCGGAGAGCAATTATGTAGAACCGTTCCCCATGTTCCCCATGTTTTTCTTCTCCGACTCGTCCTGCTGCGCTGCCGGGCCGCTGGGAGTTCCGACCCTGTCCCTGGGCGAGCTGCTCCTCCCGAGCTGCCCCCCGATGGTCCCAGGCTATTCAGCTCGACGGCCCCGTGGGCCCAGAGGGGGTCCCTGGGCTATGCTTAAGTCGGGCTCGTCCCTCTACAGGAAGCGTATTCGAAAACAGTCAAAAATAGTCGGGAAAACGGTTGTTTGACTAATTTCGTGCATGTTTGGAGTTATTTTTATTAGTGCTACTATTAATAGCATTTGTATCATTGTTATTAGTAGTATCATTATTGTTATTTTCATTATCAGTCGTATTGTTGTTAGTATCTTGATGATTATTATTATTGTTAACATTCAAATTCGTATTAATTAGTTTTATTATTCGTTTTAGTATTATAGCTATTCTTAATATGTACATGTGTACACATATATATATATATACACACATGCATCTATACATATATGTCTCGTCCAAAACTCGCCTGTAGTGGGACACGCCCGACCTAAGGCTATGCCGTGCGTGGTGGAGCAGGATTCGGCCTGACTTCCTGGGCCGCTGCAGGTCCGGAACTGCCTGGCATCCTGGCAGGGCTCGTTTCGATTCCTCAGGTTCGATTCGACTCGGTTTCGGTGGCCTCCGATTCGGATTTGATTCGACTTCGGATTCCGATTTGGCTTCCGACTTCTCGATGGAGGCCTATTTGCCTGTCGATTTCCTCCGGACTCAGCTGCCGATACTCCGCCACTCCAATTCATTACGATCGCCGATCCGACTGATCGACTCGATTCCGGGCTCTCCTGTCCTGGTCCAAATGGGATGAGGATTATCAGAGGCAACGTTGCAGGAGACTGGCTCAGAGGGGGATGCATCCACCTGCAATCGGCCATTTATTGCCGGTAAGGGGCCCTTACTTGCGTCGCCCCCCGCAGTCCTGACCGCATCCTCACGAGAAGGGGCACGAGGGATATGGAGGAGTCGCACGATGATCGTCGTCGGGTCCAGCAGGGCATCGCCCGTCGCCGCCGGCCTCCTCGCTGCCGTCGGGGATCGGGGGTCGAAATGCTTGGACGTTCCTGGCTCATTTGGGTGGCTTCTGGGGGATGGCGTCGTCGGTCGTCGTCGCGATCTTGCAGCGTTGGCCGCCCTCCCGTTTGCTGACTCCTCCTCTTCGCACTGCGTCGTGAACTTGCACGCGCCCGCCGCCCTTGCAGCGCGAAGTCGGTCGGAGCGGTCGTCGCAGTGTTGTTTCCCATTCGGTTTGGGTCAGGGCTTGCGGACCGCAAGTCAGAGACAAGGCCCGCCTGATACTTCCTGACAGTTTATGTTCTCATAATGGGCTGTCGATCATGCCCCGCTGTTTCATTGGCCTGTCGTCGTTCGTCGTCGTCGTCGTCGTCGTTGTCGTCGTCACCGTCGCTGCCGCCGCCGCCGTCGGCGTCTTCGTCGTCGTCGTCGTCGTCGTCTGCGTCGTCGTCGTCGTCGCCGCCATCGGCATCTGCCGCTGTTGCCGTTGTCGTTGTCGTCGCAGGCGTCAGTCGTCGCCGGCGCCCTCGCCGCCACCGTCGTTCTGTGCCGCCGTCCGCCGTCGCCGTCTGTCATTGTCGGCGCCGTCGTCGCCGTCGATGCAGCCTACCGTCGTTCGGTCGTCAGTCGTCCGCTCTCCGTCGTCGTCTGCCCGTCGTCCGTCCTCCGTCCTCCGTCCTCCGTCGCCCCGCCGCCGCCGCCGCGGTCGCCGCCGCCGCCGCCGACGGCGTCCTCGGAGAGGCCGTCGCCGCGTTCCGACTGTCGGGCGCCGCCGCTGGCCCCCTCCTCCCTCCCTCCTCTTCTTCCTCCTCCCCCTCCTCCTCCTCCTCCTCCTGGTTCTCCTCCGCCTCCTCCTCCTCCTCCTCCTCCTGGTTCTCCTCCTCCTGGTTCTCCTCCTCCTCCTCCTTCACCTCCTCCTCCCGAGCCGCCGAACGCCGTGCGCTTCACCGCGCGGGGGCGCGGCGCGCGCGGGATGGCCGGGGCGGACGCGGGCGGCTCCAGCACAGGCCGGGCGGGGGTGGGGCGACGGCGCCGGTGTCGCTGCGCTCGGGGCCCGAGTCCTCGCTCGCGGGCGCTCGGTCGATGCGCCTCCATCGGCGTCTTTCTCCTCTGGCACGGTTCAGCATCGAGCTGCAGAGGTCCCAGAGGTTTCGACGCCCTCCCTGGTGCCCGCTTTCTTTTCGCTTCGGGGTTCTTTCTTCGTGGCATGGCTTCTTGGGCCTGGAAGCCGGCCCCAGAGGCCGACGTCGCCGAAGCACGCCAGGTTTGAACGTCGCAGAACTGGGACGTCTGCGCTGGCGGCTCGAGGACTTCGCGAGGAATCGATGCGGTCGTCGTAGGTCGGGCGTCGTCGTAGCGCTGGGGCGTCGAGAGAGCATCGAGGAGCTCGTCGCCGTTCGGGCAGATCGCAGCAAATCGAGGAGATCGTCGCAGGCCTGGACTCGTCGAGGAGCTCGAGGAAACGAAGCGGAGTCGAGGATCGGCGGCGAGCGAGGGGGGGCAGCGAGAAGTGAGACGGCCCGCCCCTCCTCACTTCGCCCCAGGGCTCGCTCGCCGCCGATCCTCTGCTATGGTCAGCAGCATCACGGGCACCATCAGCACCGTCAGCATCGTCACAAGTTCAGTGACCAGGATGACCATCCGCGGCCATTTTTTCGCTGAGGCGGATCGGGCGCCAGACTGCCCACAATGTGTTGAGGGCTTCCCTGACAGAGATTGGCACAGAACAGAACTGGGTGACCATGATCAGAAGAATAATAACTGCATCTTCAAGAAATATCCTTTCCGTGGGATTGACCTCGACAAGTTGTTGGATCTAAGTGACCAGGAGTTCATGGAGCTTTTCCGCGCCCGCCAGCGCCGCAAATTTAGCCGCGGCATTCATCGGAAGTTGACCGCCCTCCTCAAGGAGTTGCGGAAGGCGAAGCGCGAGACCGCCTACGGCGAGAAGCCGGAGGCCGTCAGGACCCGCCGGCGCAACGTTGTGATCGTGCCCGAGTTGACGGGAAGCGTGGTAGGCGTGTATAACAGCAAGCAGTAGATCAGCATGGAGGTGAAGCCAGAGTCGATCGGCCTCTATTTGGGCGAGATCTCCATCACGTGCAGAAGCCCACCAAGCACGGCCGCGCCGGCATGGTGGGGCACGTTTCACTTCATCCGCTGAAGTGAGCAAGCGGCGCTGGACCACCGCGCGCGCAGATCACCGTGATCACCATCATCGGCATCGTCACATCACCATCGTCATTGTGATCAGCTTCCGTCCTCGTTCCCTCCTGCTGCCTCGGCCGCTCCCACCCTTGCCCCAGGGGGAGAGGGCGCCCCCCTCTGCAGCCTGAGCTTCTGCCTCCTTCCCTCCCGCCTTCCTCTCCCTCGCCCCCTCCTCTCCCCCTGCCTCCTCCCTATCTCCCTCTCCTTCCAGCCTCCTCCCATCTCTCCTCCGCAGAACTCCGTCGCCGAGCTCTTTCCGCAACGTGGACCCCCAGAGGTCTGGGCCCCTTCCCCGGGGCCGGCTTTTCTCACCCCGAGTCGTTGTCGATGTTCCTGGGGTCTGGCAGGTGCCCCCAGAGGCCGAACATGGTCCTCCCCCCCCCATCCGTCGTCATCTATTCCACGGCGAGAAGGGGTGGGAGTGTTCCTCCTGCCTCCGTGATGCCTTCCCTCTCTCCTCCTTGTCGTCAGCGGCGAAGGAGGTGTCACCCCTCCTGTGTCGCTGAGCGACATCCCCCTTCGATGGTGCAGCCCAAAAATATTGTCTGCGCAGTGGGCGCGTCGCCCTTCCGCCTCGGACTGTTCGCCAGGAGCCGTTTTATTCTGTCCTTTCGTATCTCCTCCTCCTCCTCCTCCTCCTGCACCCTGGCGGGGGCGATTGGAAGGCGCTGACGAGTTTGCCGTGGTCCTCAGACACCTCGCGGACGCGGTGGTGCGCCCCCAACCCCCGCTCCCGCGGCCTTCTGCCGCTGCGGCTTCTCGTTACCCTCGGGGGCGGAGGAGCTGAGGGGAGAAGGAGGATGAGGAGGAGGATGAGGAGGAGGAGGAAGCGGAGGAGAGGACGAGGAGGAGGAGGAGGAGGAGGACCAGTGTGAACCCACAAGGCACCAACGATGATTGAAGAAACCTTTCTTTCAAGCTCCCTCTTCAGAGGCCCCTATAACGGTTCATCTCCACAGGGAGCTGCCTCGTTGGAAGACAACCGTTTGAAGACCCTGTAGCATGCCAACACATTGTTCTCGGGATTCCAACGTCACGGACCAACCTGACTGTTGCGTCTTGACAGTCCAGAATCGTGCCAGAACGCCATTCTTGGGACTTCACCGCGAATCGACGTAATTGTTGCACCCTCATGGTACGGTGTCCATGTCATTTTTCAAACGAATGTGCTCGGCGCTAGGCGAGAGCCACATGTTGAACAATAACTGCCTTCAATCCGCGAAACGTCTGCAGAGTTTTGCAACGCATTTTGAACACGGGCCGTCCTCAGTCCGTGAAACCCTTGCAGCTGTTTAAAACGAATTCGAGCGGCGCCAAGACCAGAGGCTCATTTTGAAATCGTGCCGCCCTCCATCTGTGAAGCCGTTGCCAATGTTTAAGCTTCAGGGCCATACATGGTGAGGACGTCTCAGGCGACTCGCCTGGCCCGCCCTAAAAATTGGCTTCGGGTGCGACAACGGGAAGTAGTTTATAAGGGAAAGGACAGGAGGCGCAAGCCCCATGCCCAGGAGCCGGGGGGAGGGTCGGGGTGGGTTGAGAAGGAGGAGGAGGAGGAGGAAGAACATCGAGGAGGGGAGGCATGATGAAGAGGAGGAAGAGAAGGACGAGGAGGAGGAGAAGGAGGAGGATGATGGAGGAGGGGAGGGATGATGAAGAGGAGCAGGAGCAGGAGGAGGAGGAGGAGGGGGAGGTTACTGCAGAGGGTGAGGAGGACTAGGGGGGTGTGGAGGAGCGGGCGAGGGAGGGGATGACGGAGGCGGTGTAGGAGGCCGAGGCAGGAGGGAGGAGGGAGCAGGACGAGGATCTGGAGAAGGGCAGGAGTGCGGAGCAAGACGGGGAGGAGGATCTGACAGTTCGCTGGACGCGCGTGCGTTTCTTGGTTGCGCCAGCAGGGGTGGGAGGGGACATGAATGCCTCCGCCTTGTCCTCCCTCATCCTCATCCTCCCTCGCCCCTTGTCGCTGCGCGCAAGGTCAGCCGTTGGACATCCATGGCGGCCATCTGTTTGATGCTTTGTTTCAGGCTTGCTTGTTTTGGCAGTCAGCAAGACTAGCCTTCGGCCTGCATGCTCAGGGCATCTCTTTGATCAGGGCCGCACCGTCTGGTCAGCACATGGCTTCGTACCGATCTCGGCAGACCGTGGGAAGGAGGGCAGGAGTCAGCGCGACGGAAACGCCATGTCCCCACGTTGCGCAGGATCGTGCTCAGTTTGCTGCTGCTCGCCGTCCTTGCCCCTCTCTCCTCTTCCGCCTGCTGGTGCAGACCGCCCTGCACGCCTGCGTGACCGACGGCGTTGGCTGCTCCGCACACCTCTGCTTGAGAGGCTCCACGTGCGGTGATCATGCCACCTGCCCTGCCCTCATGGCTCGTAGCGTATGCTGTCGTCGTCTGCGTGCCCACTCGTTTGTTCCACGTTCCGCTTGCCCCCTTTCACTTTGTCCCTCTTTCCTCGCACATGCCTCCAGGGACGCGGCGCGGGAGGCCCCACAGGGTTCCCGCGTTTCTTGTGCTTCCCTCCCTTCTCTTCCCCCCTCATTCTGGCCTTCTCCTGCTTTTTCCTTTGGCCGCGTGCGAAGCAGACACCTTGCGCTGTGTGAGCAGCTCGCGGATCAGCATCGTGTTGGACCTTGTCCCCTGGAGGTTTGAGCCCTACAGGAGGAGGAGGAGGAGGAGGAGGAAGAGGAGGAGGAGGAGGAGGAGGAGGAGGAGGAGGGGGAGAAGGAGGAGCAGGAGGAGGAGGAGGAGGAGGAGGAGGGGGAGGAGGAGCAGGAGGAGCAGGATGATGATTTACCGTTTTCATCCTTGCCGTCTGGCTCATCCCTGCCCTCAGCCCTGGGCCATTGGCTTCACTCTTCGGCTTTGGCTGGGGCCTCCAATTGGGCCTTGCCTCCCTACCTCGGTGGCGAGCCCCAGGGGGGCAGTGAGAAGGGGCGCTCCTCCCTCCTCTGGGGGGAGGAGGAAGTGTCGGGAGGGTCGGGAGTACCCCGGCCTTCTTGAAGAGTTCCCCAAGCCTTCCCCGAAGGCACAGAAACCTCTCAGCAGGCTGGAGGGCCTTCTGAGAAGCCCCGCCGCCTTGTGAAAAGGCCTTACCCCTCTCACCTCCCCCTCGCCCGCCGCTTATGCTTATCCTTAACCGCGCATCCTCACGATCCGGTCACACCGTGGATCTCCCCGCGATCTTCCAGACCACTCTTCGGATGGGGCTAGGACGAGTGTAAATCCGTTCCAGAGCGTTCTGGAACGCTCTCAGAGCGTTCTGGAACGCTCTGAGAGGGACGCGGCGCCCGAGGCATCCTCTAGAGCCGCTTCTGGCTTTGTCTCACTTCTGGTTGACCCAACAGGGGGTTCTGCCAAATGAGGGTGGTGCAACAGATTTGGTGCAATAGATTCGTGGGGCTGCAACAGGTTTTGGGGGTGCATCATTCCGGTGCGCAAATGTATTGCTGGGTTTCCACGTGCAATGCATTAATTGCAATACAGTGCAATCCAATTGTCTTGCGCAACACGTTTGCAACACAATTGCCCCAAACCTATTGCTCCACTCCCTTTCAGCTGGGCCCCCTTCTGGGCCAACCAAATTACTTGCCTCCGAGGGCCTTGCCTCTTCAACTCGCGTCCTCACGATCTGGTCACACCCTAGATCTCGCTGCGAGCCTCGGTTCTCGCCAGAGCGTTTTTGCCGACGTCCCCGTGTGGACCGCGCATGGCCCAGGGAGCCCGAGAACGCCGAGGAGGATCAAGGACCCGTTCTCCTCGACGCCACCCCTTCTCCTCGACGACCTCTCCGCAAGGGCCTGTTCTCCTCGACCTCTCCTCGAGGACCTCTTCTCCTCGAGGACCTCTCCTCGAGGACCTTTCCTCGATGAATTCTTCTCCTCGAGCACCTCTCCTCAAGGACCCGTTCTCCTCTAGGACCCCTCCTCGAGGACCACTTCTCCTCGAGGACCTCTCCTCGAGACCTCCTCTCTTCGAGGACCTCTCCTCGAGGACCTCCCCGTGAGGACCCGCTTCCTTCCCTCTCCTGCCCTCTCCTTCCGCCCCGCGCGACCGAGGACGGCGACCCCCAAGACAAGGGCGCTCGCCGGCTGCCGCGGTGTCAGGACCTCCTGGCCGGGGGCCGCCGCCTCCTTCGGAGGGCTCTGTGGATGATGATGAGGAGGAGAAGGAGGAGGAGGAGGAGGAGGGGAGGGAGGGAGGGAGGGAGGGAGGGAGGGAGGGAGGGAGGGAGGAGGAGGAGGAGGAGGAGGAGGAGGAGGAGGAGGGAGGAGGAGGAGGAGGAGGAGGAGGAGGAGGAGGAGGAGGAGGAGGAGGAGGAGGAGGAGGAGGAGGAGGAGGAGGAGGAGGAGGAGGAGGAGGAGGGGCGGAGGGAGGGAGGGGGCGGAGGGGGAGGAGGGACAGGAGTAGGAGGAGGGGGAGGAGGAGCAGCATCTCCCCATCCTCTCTTCTCCCCCGTCCTACCCATGGTAGTTGTGTTGGGAAATTGGCCCATCATGGTGGCTCGCTCGCTTGTGCGAGCCCCCCCCGGGAGCCCGCGAGGAGGCGCCGCCGTCGGGCTGGGCGCTCCACGGCACGCTGGCCTGGTGGCCGCCGTGCTGGCGCGGCCTGGTGGTGCTGCTGGCGCGGCTGGACAGGGTCCAGCAGGGCGTCCAGGAGCGGCGGGGAGGGGCGCCGGGCTCTGGAGCGCGGCCTGCGGCGGCCCGCGGCGGCCCTCGTCGGGGCAGGACTGCGACGGGAGGTTTCTCGATCATGGTTCGGCCTCCAGGGCCCTCGCGGGGCCAGAGTGCCTTCAGGAGCTCGGGATGGGAGTGATGCCAGAGAAGCGGTCGAAACAGTCAACCCGCACAGTAAGGATGGACAACCTTCCCAAGAGTACCCTTGCATCCTTGCCAGGCGGCCCTGGGCGGCCTCGGGCGGCCATCCCTGGGGGGCCGCGATCTGCGACACTGTCGCCACATTCGAGGGCTGCTGGTGGGCCCTGCGGAGCGAGGCACCGCGCGGATCTGAGCAAGACCTCGCCGTGCCTGGGGGGCTGCGATCTGTGAAACTGTCGCCACTTTCGAGGGCTGCTGGTGGGTCCTGCGGAGTGAGGCACCGCGCGGATCTGAGCAAGACCTCGCCGCACGTGGGGGGCTGCGATCTGCGAAACTGTCGCCACTTCCGAGGGCTGCTGGTGGGTCCTGCGGAGTGAGGCACCGCGCGGATCTGAGCAAGACCTCGCCGTGCCTGGGGGGCTGCGATCTGCGAAAGTGTCTCCACTTTCGAGGGCTGCTGGTGGGTCCTGCGGAGTGAGGCACCGCGCGGATCTGAGCAAGACCTCGCCGTGCCTGGGGGGCTGCGATCTGCGAAACTGTCGCCACTTTCGAGGGCTGCTGGTGGGTCCTGCGGAGTGAGGCACCGCGCGGATCTGAGCAAGACCTCGCCGTGCCTGGGGGGCTGCGATCTGCGAAACTGTCGCCACTTGCGAGGGCTGCTGGTGGGTCCTGCGGAGTGAGGCACCGCGCGGATCTGAGCAAGACCTCGCCGTGCCTGGGGGGCTGCGATCTGCGAAACTGTCGCCACTTTCGAGGGCTGCTGGTGGGTCCTGCGGAGTGAGGCACCGCGCGGATCTGAGCAAGACCTCGCCGTGCCTGGGGGGTTGCGATCTGCGAAACTGTCGCCACTTTCGAGGGCTGCTGGTGGGTCCTGCGGAGTGAAGCACCGCGCGGATCTGAGCAAGACCTCGCCGTGCCTGGGGGGCTGCGATCTGCGAACCTGTCGCCACTTTCGAGGGCTGCTGGTGGGTCCAACGGGGTGAGGCACCGCGCGGATCTGAGCAAGACCTCGCCGTTTCTTGGGGGGCTGCGATCTGCGACACTGTCGCCTTTTTCGAGGGCTGCTTGGGGGACCAGCATAGCGATCTGCGGAACTGTCGCCACTTTCGAAGGCTGCTGGTGGGTCCTGCGGAGTGAGGCACTTCGCAGATCTGAGCAAGACCTCGCCATCCCTGGGGGGCCGCGATCTGCGAAGCTGTCGCCACTTTCGAGGGCTGCTGGTGGGTCCAGCGGTGTGAGGCACCGCGCAGATCTGGGCAAGACCTTGCCGTCCCTGAGGGGCTGCGATCTGCGAAACTGTCGCCACTTTCGAGGGCTGCTGGTGGGTCCTGCGGAGTGAGGCACCGCGCGGATCTGAGCAAGACCTCGCCGTGCCAGGGGGCCCCGATCTGCGAAATTGTCTCCAATTTCGAGGGCTGCTGATGGGTCCAGCGGAGTGAGGCACCGCGCGGATCTGAGCGGGGCCTCGCCGTCCCTGGGGGGCTGCGATCTGCGAAACTGTCGCCACCTTCGAGGGCTGCTGGTGGGTTCAGCGGAGCGAGGCACCAGGCAGATCTGAGCGAGACATCGCAATCCTAGGGGGGGCTGCGAGCCTCACGAATGCCGCTCGCAGAAATATACGCGCCCATGTCACGGCATCACCTCTGTATAACGTCTCCCAGGCTACTCATGCCCCGCATTGCGCAGGGGTTGGGTACGTCGCCAGGGTATTTTTTTTAATCACCCGCGCCAGGGAAGAGGAGGAGAGAGGAGGGGGAGAGAGGAGAAGGAGGATTTGTTCAACACAAGCTGACATTATCTCCCTGGCCACCCGAGGGGGTACCACAGTCAGGAGGGGAAACAGCACAGACACAACGAGTCGTCGATCCCCAGGAGCATGTGCGAAAACATGGGCAGTGGGGGGAAGACGAAAGCCCACAACACAGGACAGAATATCAGGTCACCCTGGGATTTGTGTCCACTCATTTGTGTGCCCCCAGGGCCCCTCCACAAAGGACGGCCGGTCTTCGCGCGTCGCGGCCTGGGCCCCTCGCCCGGCGTCCCTCGCCGACTCGGTGCCCAGTGCGCACCGCAGCAGCCCTGCCGCAGCCACGACCGCAGCCTGGACCCCAGGCGCCGCGGGCGAAGGAGTCGCGGCCTGGGCCGGACCCGAGGCCGCGAGGCGGGCGCGGCGCCCCTTGTCGCCAGGCGTGCCCAGGGAACTGCCCCTCCTCCGCCCTCCCTCGCGGTGTGCTGCTTTTTCTGGGTGCGGTTCAGTTCTCCAGGCGGGAGCCTCCGAGGTTTCTCTTGTCCACGGGGGGGTGTCGCGAAGGCGTGATGCCCCGAATACCGAGGAGTGCGGGCCTTGCTCAATCCGGTCGATCTGATTCGATACCGGTCACGCCCGGCTCGACCCTATTCGATTCGGATAAGGCCTACGATCCGAGACGACCCGTGGCGCTGGTGTGCATCCTGGCGCAGTTGGTCCGATTCGATCTCGGCTTCGTTCCTACGCAGCGCGGTCCGACGCACATTTCGGCCTCATCCGCTTTCCTGGACTGGTGCTGGCCCGTCCTGCCTTGGGGCCGTGGGTGTGGATACGCTTGGTTCCCGCGCACGAGCCTTGCGCTGGCCCGTGGCGTCCATGTTTTTGTCGTCCTCATCGTCGTCGTCGTCGTCGGCGGCGGCGGCGGCGTCGGCGTCGGCGTCGGCGTCGGCGTCGGTGTTGGCGTCGGCGTCGGCGTCGGCGTCGGCGTCGTCGTCGGCGTCGTCGTTGTCGTCGTCGTCGTCCACGCCGCCGCCGCCCGTCGCCGCCGCCGCCGCAGCCGCCGCCTCCGCCGCCGCCGCCGCCGCCGCCGCCGCCGCCCCCGCCGCCGCCGCCGCCGCCGCCGCCGCCGCCGCCGCCGCCGCCGCGTCGTCGTCGTCGTCGTCGTCGTCGTCGTCGTCGTCGTCGTCGTCGTCGTCGTCGTCGTCGTCGTCGTCGTCGTCGTCGTCCACGTCGTTCACGTTGTCGTCCACGTCCAGGTCCACGCCGTCGTCGTGCACGCCGTCGTCGTCGACGGCGTCGTTTTTCGAGGGCTTCGGCGGCTGCCCCCAGGCCTAGCTCCTAGCTGCGGTGTTTCGTCGTCGACTTCGTCGTCGTCGTTGTCGCCGCCGTTGCCGCCGTCCGCGCCGTCGTCGGTGAGGTCGTCGACGAAGCCACCCGACACCACCTCGTAGCTCTTCGAGTCTTTGGATGTCACGTCTTGGATGTTCGTTGGCCTCCAGATGCCCCCAACAAAAATCAAGAGGTGGCCCTGTCCATTACAGGGCCTTTGTTTTACTGGTTCCGTTTTTGGCCGGTTCCGACGCCGTTTTTGTTGCCGTTTCCGTTGCTGTTGTTTTGCCTGTTTCGGCTTTGGTTCCAATCTTGGAGCAATTGTTTGGCCGTTTCGGATCGCCGTTTTTGTCCCGCTCCTGTTGTTCGAGAGAGATTTTTCAGAAGCCATGAAAAGCGGCCCTGCCGATTCCCGTGTGAATACGATCTGTCGCCGAAGACGAGCAACAATGCGCAAGCATATTTTTTGGAGGTCCGCGGGGATTTCTTGGATCATCGCTGCCCTCCCCCCCTCTATGGCGCGCGATGCGCGCCAGGGGCGGCGCCAGCGGCGCCCCCGAGGGGGCCCAGCTCCGATTCGAGAAAGCCGCGCGGGGCTTTGCGAGTTGGTGCTCGTGCCGCTCCCTCGTCCTCCTGATCATCCGCGGAGCTGGGCTCGCATAACATCTCCGAGCGCCCGGGGACTCACGAGCCGTCTGCGAGGGGCCCGCCCCTCCTCACTTCCCGCCCTTCGCTCGCCGCCGAGTTCCCTCTTCCTCTGTCATGCGGGCAATCGTTATATCCACATCCAGTGCGTCTTGGAGTCTTGGACTCTCTTCCCCAGAAACCGTAGACGCACTGGATATGGATAAACATCTGGCCCCAAGAGGCTTGGTTTTGTCCGTATCCAGTGCGCCTCGGCGTTGCGGCACCTCTTCCTAAAAAGTCGAAGACGCTCTGGACATGGATATAAGTATTGCCCGCATATCAATCTGCAGAGGTGGGCCTGAGAGTGGCAGAGTGCCGCTGGGCGCAAGTGGCAGCGGCGCGTGCAGCAGCAGGTCAGGACGCGCGCGCGCAGGACGCCGTCGCGGCCCTCGCCGTGCTGGTGTGCCTGGCCACGCTGAGCCTGCTCCTCCGAGTGGTCCACGGAGCGGGGGGGGCCCTCCTCCTCCTACCCCTCCTCCTCCTCCTCCTCCTCCTCCTCCTCCTCCTCCTCCTTCTCCTTCTCCTCCTCCTCCTCCTCCTCCTCCTCCCCTCCTCCTCCCTCCTCCTCCTCCTCCTCCCTCTCCCTCCCCTCCTTCCTCTCCTCCTCCTCCCTCCTCCTCTCCTCCTCCTCTCCTCTCCCTCCTTCCTCCCTCTCCCTCCTCCTCCTCCTCCTCTTCCTCCGTCTCCTCCTCCCCCTCCTCCTCCCCCTGAAGCCTTGCCTGCCGAAGCCTGGCGGCGCTCGGGGACGGACCAGGGATCGCGCCGGCTCGAAGCATGCAGCAGACAGATGGGGCCGGGGCTCCGGTCAGCTTCGTAGGAGGCAGGGGGCGCTTTGCCCCCCCCCCCCCGCCGCCGTGTGTGCTCTTCCCGGAGATCCGATGTCCTGGTTTCCTCGATGGGGGTTCTCTGGAAATTCCGGCCCTTTCTCCAGGGCGAGTGCTTCGCTTTGGGCAGTCTGTTGACCGCTTTGGGGCTTTGTGAGTGCCCTCCAGGTGCCGGACACCTCGAAAGGTATCCGCGCTGTTTGCTGCGTTCGACATTTGGGTGTCAAAATCGAATAAGAAAACTTTCTCAACATAAGTTTGTCGGAGGCCCGTGCGGATTTCTGGCGTCGGCGAAGTGCGTCAGGGGCGGCGGCGACGGAGGCGCCGCCAGGGTGGAGGTCCAGCGCAGATCCAGGAATCGCTGGTGGGGGTGTGGTGCTGATTACAGATCCGAGCCGTTTCCGAACCGATTCCGACAGTCTTCGTATCCCGTGGTTTCCCATGCCGTTTCGGTGAATCGTTTGTTAAAGTTTCGGTGGACAGTTTGTTTGCAGATTTCATGATCAGGAGGCTTTCCTTTTGGAAGACCACAAAACCTGCCCTGTCTCTTCCACAAAACCTACCTGTTTCCTCCTCCTCTTCCTCCTTTTCCTCCTCCCCCTCCTCCTCCCCATCCTCCTAACCTTCCTGGAGCTCGGCAGCGAGGGCCCCGCCCCCCCCCCCAGGTCGCCATCCACCGTGCGCTGGGGTGCCGGCGGCTCGTGCGCGTGCCCGACGGGAAGGCGGCGGCCGGCGCGGCCCCCGCCCTCGCTCGTGCCCCCGAGGGGCGGCACTGTCAAGGCCTCGCTCTCCTGGGTCGGGTGTGGCCAGGGCCCCGGGTAAGGGCACCCGGTTAGTGGCAGGGCCCTGGAGCCTTTTGAGGTGTCCAGAGTCACCAAACCAGGTTTGCCATCGCTGGTGTTTTTTTTCGGGTGACGGCAGTTCCGGTTGGTGGAAATGGGACGGGGGGGGGCCCCCGGTACAAATCACTAAACCAGGTTCCACTAGTTAAACCCAGTTCTGCCAACGCCCGACTGGGGCTCTGCTGCGTTCTTGGTCGCAACGCGCAGTGGGGGATGGGGGGAGGGGGGAGGGCTTTTGAGAAGCACCCCTGCTTCTCAGAGTGCGCGGTCTTATCCAAAGATGTAAGGCCGGCGCCTTCTAAGAAGCGGCCTCCTTCTAAGAAGCCCTCCCTCCTGCCACCCCCTTGTGCGCGCCGCCAGCATGTGTCACGTGTGCGGAGCTACACTGTCAATGCCGCGCTTTCCTGTGGCTTTGCTGCGTTCCCGCTCGCAACGCACACCGCAAGAGGCGGCGGAGAGCTTGAGAGATTCACCCACAAAAGGAGCTGCTCGGGGGCAGGGACTTGTCGGTAGCAAATCATGGGAGCCAGCTATACCTCGAGGAAGAAAAATGCCATGAACAAAAACTTGTTGCGCTCCGCGCGGATTTCTTGAATCCGCGCCAGGGTCCCTCCGGCGGCGCCTCTGGCGCCGCCCCAGGCGCGCTCCGCGCGCCAACGAGAGGGGTCCACCGCAGACCTAAGAAATCCGCAACGAGCGCCAAAACATTGTGTTTATGATTTGTTGATCTTCTTCTTGTCGGTCGCGAATCATGGGAGCTTGGTGTACCTCAGATGTTGATAGACCTCCCCTAATACGTCGATTAGCGAGTTGGCCGTTTTCGGTTCGCGAGAGGGCGTCGCGGCCGTCATTTTTTCGGGTCCAGGTTCGTCGGTTTCGGTCCTGGGTCGGTTTCACTAAAGGGTGGTTTGCTAAAGGGAGGTTTGTCCGCCGCCGATTGTCGGTAGCAAATCAGTGGACTTGCTCGGGGGTGGGGACTTCTCTAGGAGGTGGGGGAGTCTGGTTGACCCGAAAGGGGGTCCAGCGACCAGGGCGGTGGTGCAATAGATTTGTTGCAATCGATTTGCGGGGTTGCATATGGATTTGGGGCGTGCAATGCCTTCCAGTGCGCAGATGTATTGCTGGACTTTCGCGTGATAGTTGCAGTGCAATGTGTGAGGGTGGCGGCGCGGCTACGCCCTTGCTCTTGCCCCCGAGGAGGGGAGCTGGGCGGGAACTTTTCGGTAGCAGATCTCATGGCGCCCACATCGCCGAGCAGATTTTGTTCGGAAACCGGTAGGGTGAGCCCGGGGTATCCTGGAGAATTTTGTTCCGGATTTCGAGGTGATCACGTCGTTTTTCATTGGCAGAAACCCACGCAAAATCAGCTGCAGCACGTCTGCGAGGTCGGTGCAGTCACAAATCATGGGAGCCTGGTGCACCCTCTTAATTCCGTCTGCAGCGTCGACTCGCGTTGATTCGCGTCTTGGAATCGATGAGACAGCGCCGATTTGGCGTCGGCTAGTGTCGATTAGCATCGATGTAGTGTCGACTAGCGTCGATTAGCGTCGATTTAGCGTTCACTGGCGTCGATTCGCAAATGCCGACAAGATGGTATGAGTCTCCCAAGAGTTGCCACCGAAGGACTTCTTGAGGAGGTGGAGGAGGGGGAGCTGGGGGGAGAAGTGGGAGAAGGGGGGAGGGGGGGAACTCTGCAGGGCTTATTTCGACTCCTCCGAATTGGTTTGGCTCCAGGTTCCGATTTCGCAACGCAGGCTCTGCTGGCCTTGCAATTTCCGCTGATTCGACTGCTCCCGACTCCGCTGTCGATCTCCGCGGACCCGATTCATTTCGCTCGCCCATCCGTGTTATCGATTCGATTTTGGGCTCTCCTGGGGATTGGGAGGAGGAGGAGGAGGAGCTGTCTGAACATGCTATCGCTCATGCTGTCGACTGCGCAGTCTTCCTCAGTCCTGGCGTCGCCCTCACGCCCCGCGTTGTTGTCGCTGCCGCTGTCTTGGCCGCCACCCCCGTCGTCGGCGACGACCTCGTCATCGTCGTCGTCGACGTCGTCGTCGTCGTCAACATCGTCGTCAACACTGTCAATGTCTTCGTTGTCAATGTCGTCAGTATCAACATTGTCGCAAACGTCGTTGCAGTCGTCGTCTTTGTCGGTGTCGTAATCGCCGTCGCCGTCGACGCCGTCAATGTCGTCACTGTCGTCGTCGACGGAGCCGTCATTGTCAAGTCCGTCAGCACGCCAACGTCGTTGACGAAATCATCGTCGTGAATGTCGTCTGTGTAATCGTCGTGACCAGCGGCGGTGCAGTCGCCACCGCAGTCGGTCCCGTCGCCGTCGCCGTCAGCGTCGCCGCCGTCAACGTCGGCTCGAAGAGGCAAACACGGCATAGGCATAAACCTTGCAGTTCATTGTTCCTCTGTCAACGTCGTCATCGCCAGTTGGCGCCCAGGAGGTGGACTGGCTGACGTCGATACACTTTTGTTCTCGCCAGCGTCGCCGCCGTGGACGTCAACATTGAGATCCGTCGTTGCGAAGAACATGCTATATCGTCTGACAGTACGACTGCTGCATTTTTCGAGCCAGATCGATCTCTGATTGTCCCAGGGCTCGAACTGGGCCAAAAAGTTGGGTGTGAAGAGATGGCAAGGCCCAGATCTCAGTGAACGTCGTCGTTGCCGTCAACGCCCGGGAGGTGGACAGGCTCACGTCGATACATTGGATGCTGACCAACGTGGCCGTCCAGCTGCGAGGCCTGCGGCAGGAGCCGGCCCTTCCGCCTCTCCCGCTCGGCTTCTCTGGCCCCGCGGGCAACCTTGCGGGCGGAAGTTTCGTGGCTTTCTGACGTTTTCTCGTCGGTTTTCGGCGGTCTTCCATCCTCGGCATGCCAGCGTAGGAAAACGAACGATGACATGACCATAAAAGCTCGGAGGTCCGCGCGGATTCCTCGGATCGGCTCTGGGCCCCCCTGGCGGCGCCTCCGGCGGCGCCCCTGGCGCGCTCCGCGTGCCAGAGAGGGGGGCCCAGCGCGGCTCCGAGAAGTCCGCGCGGACCTCCGAGGTGTTATGCTCATGTCGTTGCTCGTTCCCCTCCAGCGGCCCCAAGACCGCGCGGTGACGGCCCGTGCGGAGAGGCCCGCCTCTGCCCCTCACGCTCCCTTGGCCGCCCCCGAAAAGGTGCGCCAGCCCGCCCTGGCGGCGCGCGGGGGGCCTGCTTCGAACGGCCGCCGCCGTTGTCCCCTGGCGTACAGGTCTTTTCTCGGGGGCCGCCTCCTCCTCCTCCTCCTCCTCCTCCTCCTCCTCCTCCTCTCTCCTCCTCCTCCTCCTCCTCCTCCTCCTCCTCGGCGGCAAAGAGGGGGGTGATGACTGGGGGGGGGGGATCTCCTGTGGGCCATGCTACTTCCTCCGATTTTTTGTTCTGATGTCATTGCGTCTCTAACCCCCCCTCTTGGACGCCCCCCTCTTGGCCGCCCGATGGATTCCGTTGCCGATTCCGATGGATTCTGATTCCGATGCGATTCGTCTTCGGATTCTGATGTTCCATTTCCTCAAGGGAGGCCTCCTAGCCTGCCGACTTCCCCTTATTCGACTTTTCCCGACCCGGCTGCCGATTTCCGCCGATCCGATTCATTACGATCGCCGGTCCGATTTGTCGGTTCGATTCTGGGTGCGCCTGCCCTCAGGCCAGCGGGAAGGGGCCAAGAGTGGATCGGGCGGGCGGTAATTCAGCGGAATAGGTACCTGTACCTCTACCCTTCGCCTGTGTTTCCCTTCTTGGGGCCTCCTCGGAGGCCTTCGTCGCTACTGTTGGATTCGCCTCGAAGTTCTGGGCAGAACGCACCCTGGGAGAGGTCTTGGGAGTAAGGGTATCGGTACCTGTTGGTTTCCCCAGGAGAGGGCCCTGAAGGGGCCCTTGAGGGCCCCTGTTGGGCACAAACTGGCTCCAACAGATGCCCCACATGGGGCCTCTTGAGGGCTCCTTTCTTCCCCCCCCCATGTGGGCCACCCCCCAGTACCTCCTCGGACGGGTCTTTCGGCGCATCGAGTCCCTGAGATCCGACACAGCGAACAAAATGCAGCACCGTAAAGTTAGTATGTGTTTGAAGCTCCCTGTGAAGGGCTCTGGGCGTGATGCTTTACGGCGTAAGCCATCACGCCCAGAGCCCCAGACCTCATCTCTCTGCGTCGTTCTCCGAGCCGCACCGACCTGTGAGGAGGGAGGGCCCCTGTGGGCCCGAAGAGAGGCGGCACAGACGCCCAGCGCGAACACACCAGGAGGAAACGCCAGAATCTCAGGCGATCGTTTTTGTTATCCATTGGTTTGCCAATCGGCGGTGGCCCCAAAACCTCAGTATCGTTTAACCGATCCCCATCCCCATGCTCATCCCCCTTCGAGACCCCCACGAAGTTACACCCCCAGTTGGGGATATGTACACCCCTCGAAACCTGAAGGATACGATCTATATCCCCATCTATGGGGGGTAAATCAGCCAGTGGGGCCCAGCCCACGCTGGTGGGCATGGGGATCAGTCAAACGATATTCCCCCCCCCCATGGAGTAGATCTCGGCTGTTTGGGGGCGCCTGTTTCGAGCGGTTGGGGAGTCCCCCCCCAGATGCCGCATTGCTGCAACCAGCCGCCCTGAAAGCAGAGGTGCGGAGCCAGACCCCCCCCCCTCCCCCCCCTCTTGCCGCCCAGTTGCCGAGACGCCGAACCAAAAGAAATCGCTCGCGATCTCAGGGGTGGGAAGGCTCTTGTGGCGCCTCGAGGCCCTGTTTCACCCTCAAGGTTAAGTCGGGCGTGTCCCTCTACAGGAGGAATATTCAACATAATCATAAAATAGTCGGGGGATGATTGTTGAGTATTTGTCGGTCGTGTGTTGTGGTTGCTGGTTGACTTTTTCTAATTTGTTTCGTCCACAATCCCCCTACAGGGGGACATGCCCGACGTAACCCTAAAATGGCCCCGCGCCCCGCCGGGCCCGCCGTGCGATAGCGCCGACCTCCCACGATAGGGCGGGTGGGCGGCGGCGGCGGGGCGCCGAGGAGACCGCCGCGCGGCGGCTGGCCGTGCGCGGGTTCGCCGGCAGGCCGCCCGCGCGCAGCCAGTGGGGGGGGGGGCACTCCTCACCGAGCGCGTTCCACTACTGGCAAGGCGCCTGCTCGCAAGCGTCCGAGACGCATGTGTTTCCCTCGATGTAATCTACCGTAGACCCCCCGCGGCGGATCCGGGCCAACGGCGAGTCGTTTCTTGGCGAGCAGTGGAGCGCGCTTGTCTAACCCCGTCTGCGCCGCCCCTCCTCTCGATCCTCTCCGGTTGCTCGAAGGAGACTTCGGGTGCAACTCCCGGGAGGGCAGATTCAGATTCTGCCCCGGTCCGAGATCTGGCTCAATCCGGCTCAGTCCCGCTTGATCCGGCTCAATCCCGTTTATTCCAGCGCAATCCCGCTGAATCCGAGGCCCAGTCCGGAGTAACAGCCGTCCAATGGATCTTAATCTTCCGTAGTCCTTCCACTAAGACCTCCCAGTAGTTGCCTCCTATACGCAGAAGCAAAGCCATAACCATAAACTGTTGGCGCTCCGCGCGGATTTCTTGGATCGGAGCTGGGCCCTCCTCCCTGTCGCGCGGAGCTCGCCAGGGGCGGCGCCAGAGGCGCCGCAAGGCAGGCCCAGCGCCGATCCAGGAAATCCGCGCGGAGCGCCAAACAATTGTGTGTTGTGGTGTTTTTTCTTCTTCCACTACCTGCGCCCGCCCCCTCGGGTCCTGCCCCGCCTCTCGATCCTCTCCTGCTGTCCGTCCCCCTGCTCCCCCAGACCCCCTCGAAGCATGAGCAAAATCGCGACGGGGGTGTTTGTCGCCATTTCCGGCCTCTGGGGGCCCTTGCCGGGCCTCGGGGCCGTGAAAAGACGACTCAGGATGAAAAGCCCGTACCTGGGAATGGGTCGAGACCTCTGGGGGTCGACGTCATGAAAAAATCATGCTGTCGGGGGTCTGGGCCTCCGCTCCCCCCTCCCTTCCTCTTGCTCCTCCGCCCCCTCCTCCTCCTCCTCCTCCTCCTCCTCCTCCTTTTCCCCCTCCCCCTCCTCCTCCGCCTCCAGTACCATCTTGGCTTAAGCCGCCGCCGCTGGGTGCCCGCGCGCCGCGCTCCCGCCGTCGACCGATGCCAGGTACTGTGGAGGCGGATGCCCGCCGCGCGAAGGCGTCGCGCGAGGCCGTGCGCGGCGCGGTCCTCGCGACGCACGCTGCGGCTGGGCTATCGGCGAGCTATCGGGCGGCAGCCGCGAGGCACAGCGCCTGGCGCGGGCCGCCGAAGGCCTGCTGCGAGCCGCGCTGGCGGCCCTCGCACCGCCGCCCGGGCCCCCCTCAGCCGCGGCGCAGGAGGCACCCGCTGCTGCCCCTCGGCGGCGGCTGCGTCCTCGCGGGCGTGCCGGCGCGGCGGGCCCTGGCGAGCGCGCGGAAGACGCCAACTCGGACGAGCAGATGGCCGACGTCGGGGCGGAGGGGAGCGTTGCGATGGTGCCCGTCGCGTCTCCTGAACCGTTGCTGTCCGACAAGTGGGCGGGCGACCTGCCAGTGGTCCGGTGGTACGGCGCGGACGCTTGGCGGGCGGCACAGGCCGTGGCGGTGGCAAGGGCAAGGACTCGGGCAAGGGAGGCGCTGGCAAAGACAAGAACAGCGGCACGGAGCTGAACGGGCTCCGCCAGGACGTCTTCCGCCTGATGAAGCGCTTCGGCCTGCCCTGTGTGCGGGAGAACCTCCCGCGCGACGTCGTGGAGCTCGGCCACATGGCCGAGCAGCTGGGCGCCCTCCTCGGCGAGGCGGGCGAGCAAGCTGGCGGTGGCGGTGAGGGAGGTCGGCCTCGGCGTCAGCGGCATGGGTAAGACCGCCTTCGCCGTTGGGACCCCCGATGGAAGGCACAGCAACTTGCGGCTGCAGCTGCCTTTGTGCTGCTCCCCTCCTGCTTCTTGGCATTGTTTTGCGGAGGCCGCTTCGCATGTCGTTGAAGTTTTCTGGTACGTCTGGGATGCCCTGAGAGTTTTGTAGCACGTGTGCAGTGCTATTCCCCGCTGTGATGCGATTCTTGATTTGCCACGGCGTGGCCGTGCAGCAAATTCCAGCACTGCCCAATGGTCATGCAAAGGGATTGCTGCGCTGCATGGTAATTCGTGGGCCAACGTCTGTTTGCGTTGTCGTTCAGGAACCACCCTCCGGGGTGTGTTATTCATCCACCAGAAATCCCACTCTCCGCCATCCCCTCCTTTTTGTAAGGTGTGGCTCATGGAGGGTAAAATTGAACGTCTAAGCTGGTCTGCCCGTGGATGTAGACCTGCCTACTGCGGCACATTTTAATCCAGCCCGCTCCCGCTTGTTCTGGCTAGATCCTGGGCCCAATCGTCTCTGTTAGTTTTTGAGTGTATCGCCGTCGTCTTCGGGCGCCCTTCGCCCAGCCACGAGAGCAGGACCAGACGAGAATAGGTTACCGAGACCGCTATTTACCTCTCCTCCGTTTTCGCCCGTGTGGGCCTTCCGGCAAGCCCCCGTCGCCGTGGCTGGATTCGCCTCAAGTCTTTGGTCAGGACGCACCCCTGGAAGAGGTCCAAGGAATAGCGGTCTCGGTAGCTTTTGATTCCCCAGAGGGGAAAAAGGCTCAGGCGGACGAGGAGGGGGGAGAAGGCGAGCAGGAGGGAGAAAGGGTGGCAATGCACTAGATGAAGGGCGTGGAGCGACGAGGCGAACATGAGAAGACTTCGGGGGGAAGAGGGAGAGAATTCTTTACGCTTCGCGTATCCCCACCAGCCCATCTCAAAACAGCAACTCTTGCGAAGCATGCCGACAATCGTGTTTTTCAGGCGTGTTTCCGCCTGCCCCCGCATATCTCCCCTGTTCCTCCTTCCCCCCGCCTCCTTGTACATCCTCCTTGTGGTGGGAGCGGGAGAAGGACGAGGCGGAGGAGGAGGGAGAGAAAGCGCTCCTCGTGGTTTGAGTCGTTTGGGGTTTCTTGTCCTGGTGTGAGTCGTTCGGGCCCTTCTTCCTGGTGTGAATCGTTCGGGCTCTTCGTGATGTGAGTCGTTCGGGCTCTTCGTCCCGGTGTGAGTCGTTCGGGCTTCTCGTGGTGTGAGTTGTTCGGGCCCCTCGTCGTCGTGTGAGTCGTTCGGGCCCCTCCTCCTGGTGTGACTCGTTCGGGCTCCTCGTGGTGTGAGTCGTTCGGGGCCCTCGTCGTGGTGTGAGTCGTTTTGGGGGCCTCTTGGAGGCCTTTTGGGGCGTCATCGGGGCCTCTTGGCGGCCCCAAGGGGCTTCTAGGAGCGTCTTGGGTGCCTTGGGGGGGCCTCTTCGGGCCTCTTGGGAGCCTCTTGGAGGCCGTTTGGGGCGTCTTGGGGGCCTCTTGGCGGCTCCAGGGGCTTCCAGGAGCTTCTTGGGTGCCTCGGGGGAGCCTCTTGGGGCCTCTTGGGGGCCTCTTGGGGGCATCTTGGGGGCCTCTTGGGGGCCTCTTGGGGCCTCTTGGGGCTGTCTGCGAGGGGTCTGGGAGGAATCTTGGGGCCATCTGTCGGGCGATCGATCACAGATGAGGCGAGCATTTTTCTGCCTCCCCCCGTCGGGGCAGAATCCTCGTGAGGGGTGTCGAATTTTAGCCCTCCCAGGAGTCGAAAAAGACCCCTCCAACCACCCGCGGGGCGCCCTCTCCAGGCCCAGGGGGAGGGGGTAGGGGAAGGGGTAAACCCCTCTCCGAAGGGGAAGAAGGGGGGTTGAGAACAGAGCGGGCTCTCTAAACCACTCACGCCCAAAGGGCTGGTGGGATTTCGAGGAGAGCAGAGGGGAGAAGCGTGGAAATGGAGAGGATAGGGCGGTCGAGGAGAAGGGCGCACGGCGATGACAGCCGATGTTCTCAGACAATCCCACCAGCCCTTTGGGCGTGAGTGGTTTAGAGAGCCCGCTCTGTTCTCAACCCCCTTTTTCCCTTTCGGGGAGGGGTTTATCCCTCCCCCTACCCCCTCCCCCTGGGCCTGGAGAGGGCGCCCCGCGGGTGGTTGGAGGGGTCTTGTTCGACTCCTGGGAGAGCTAAAATTCGACACCGCTCACGAGGATTGTGGCCCCGACGGGGGGAGGCAGGAAAATGCTCGCCCCATCTCTGATCGATCGCCCGACAGATGGCCGGCCCCAAGATACCTCCCAGACCCCTCCCAAAGAGCCCCAAGAGGCCCCCAGAGGCCTCCAAGAGGCCCCCAAGATGCCCCCAAGAGGCCCCCAAGAGGCCCCAAGAGGCTCCCCCGAGGCACCCAGGACGCTCCTGGAAGCCCCTGGAGCCGCCAAGAGGCCCCCAAGACGCCCCAAACGGCCTCCAAGAGGCTCCCAAGAGGCCCGAAAAGGCCCCCCCAAGGCACCCAAGACGCTCCTAGAAGCCCCTGGGGCCGCCAAGAGGCTCCCAAAACGGCCCAAAAGGCCTCCAAGAGGCTCCCAAAAAACATCTACTACTACTACTACTACTACTACTACTACTACGACGACTACTACTACGACTACTACTACTACTACTACTACTACTACTACTACTACTACTACTACTACTACTACTACTACTACTACTACTACTACGATCACTACGACTACTACGACTACTACGACTACTACTACTACTACTATACTACTACTACTACTACTACTACTACTTACTACTACTTACTACTACTACTACTACTACTACTACTACTACTACTACTACTACTACTACTACTACTACTACTACTACTACTACTACTACGACGACTACACTACTACTACGACTACTACTACTACTACTACTACTACTACTACTACTACTACTACTACTACTACTACTACTACTACTACTACGACTCACGCCAGGAAGAAGGGCCCGAACGACTCACACCAGGACGAGAAACCCCAAACGACTCAAACCACGAGGAGCGCTTTCTCTCCCTCCTCCTCCGCCTCGTCCTTCTCCCGCTCCCACCACAAGGAGGATGTACAAGGAGGCGGGAGGAAGGAGGAACAGGGGAGATATGCGGGGGCAGGCGGAAACACGCCTGAAAAACACGACTGTCGGCATGCTTCGCAAGAGTTGCTGTTTTGAGATGGGCTGGTGGGGATACGCGAAGCGTGAAGAATTATACCAGTCATGAGTATGGCGAGACGCACAGCAAATCACATATTTGCGTCAGGGTAGCAAGTAGGAGGAGGAAGAGGAGGAGGAGGAGGAGGAGGAGGAGGAGGAGGAGGGGAGGGGGAGGAGGAGGAGGGGGAGAGGAGGAGGAGGCGGAGGAGGAGGGGGAATCGGAGGTGGGGGGAGGAGGGAGGATGTCCCCGTAGGTCCCCAGACGCCGTCGAAGATCCTCGTCTTTTGCCCTTGATCTAAGATTCTCGGTCCTCCGGGGGGAGAGGCGGAGGAGGAAGAAAAGTAGGAGGATGTGGAGAATATTCGGAGAGGAGGAGTGGGAGGAGGAGGAGGAGGGGGAGTAGGAGGAAGAGGAGGAGCAGGAGGACGAGGAGAGTTTGTGGCGAGGAGCGATTCGTGCTGATCCTTCCCCCCACCCCACGCAAGCAAGGCTGCGGATCTCGTCCCCGCTCCGTCTGCGGCTCAGGACTGACCGGGGGGGAATGGGGGGGAAGAAGCAAGCGGGGAGGAGGAGGTGGAGGTCAGCACCGTGCGAGTACAGTGCATCCCTCCGTCCCTTCGCTCCTCCTCATCTCTCCTTCCTTGCTCCCTCCTCTCGTCGTCTTGTGCGTATCCATTGTCACTGGCCGCTTGGGCCCCGTGAGATGCCTCAGCACGCTCGATTCCGCTTTCAGGCCACGGTGCACTGCGTGTTTTTTGTCTATCGCATGTCGGCTCGCGCGGAGTGTATGGTAGGTACCCCCCACAAAGTCCGATGGGCCTGTTTTCCATCACCACCACCACCATCAGTTGGATGGGAGGAAGGAGGAGGAGGAGGACGAGGAGGATGAGGACGAAGAGGAGGAGGAGGAGGCGGAGGAGGAGGACCCCCTTCCCCTCCAACTTCTGGTGGTCGTGGTGGTGGAAAAAGCAGGCCCATCAAAGCCGCACACGAACATTAATTTTCAGGGGCCGGCGTGGGCTTTTCTCAAATCCCGAGCTGGGCCCCCTGCGCCTCCAGCGGCGCCGCCCTCGGCGCGCTTGGAGGCGCGCTAGGAAGGGGGAGAGCATGGCCGCTCCGAAACATCCGCGCGGACTTCGACTGATGATTGCAAGTCGGGCCTGTCCCTCTACAGGAGGAATATTCCAAACTAGTCAGAAAATAGTCTGGGAAGGATGTTTTGATTTTTTTTTGATATGTTTGGAGTATTGTTTGTCTACTTTTTATTTTTCTCCCAGAATCCGCCTGTAGGGGGACATGCCCGACCTACGACTAATGATGGGCCAGCTCCTGCCTCTGGGGACCTTTACACCAGTCCTCGGGGCCGTCCAACAAAAACGACTCCGGAGGAACAACCGGTCTCTCGGGGAACGGGTCGGGACCTTTGGGGGTCGACGTCATGAAGAAATCATGACGACGGAGGTCTGGAAAATGAGCTCCCGACCCGCCTCGCACACCCTGCATTCCGCTGATGGGCCTGTTTTTCCACCACCACCACCAGAAGTTGGAGGTGGAGGAGGAGGGGGAGGAGGAGGGGGAGGAGGAGGAGGAGGAGGAGGAGAAGGAGGAAGGGGAGGAGGAGGAGGACCCCCTCCCCCTCAAACTTATGGTGGTGGTGGTGGAGAACAGGCCCATCATACCGCGGCCGCCAGGCTCCAAGGGTCCTGGCGCTTCCCGGGCATCCCGCTTCGCGTCTCCGGCGAGGCACGGCTGCATATACGGCGACCGCCGGTTCCAGTGTGTGCCAGTGCTCCTCAGGCATCTGGCCGCGTTCTCGGGAGCCTTGCGACGGGGTCCATGCAAACGGGGGTCAGCCAGGGCACCGAATTCTGCAGGATCCTGCGAAGATCGGAGGTTGATAGACCCACTACGCTGACACGTCGATTAGCGAATTGGCCATTTCCGGTTCGCGAGAGGGCGTCGTGGCCTTCATTTTTGCGGGTCCAGGTCCGTCGGTTTGGTCCCAGGCCGTTTTCACTAAAGTGTCGTTTACTAAAGGGAGGTTTGTCCACCGCCGAGAAGACCCCCTCTGGATGACCCGGGTTTGCGAGCCGCTCGTGGCCGCGAGTCGCCCGCGCATATTGGCTGACCCGGATTTGCGAAGACCTGCGTTGCGTTTCCCGTATTACAGTTTTTGGTTTATTGTTGACCCAAGTCTGATCGACTCAGGTTAGCAGATCCCTGATTCGCGTTCTCGGGTGGGGACCACTCGAAGCAACATATGTGTTTGGTTCTTCCATCCCCCCAACGGGGCTTCTCGAGTCATGGAGGTACAACTTGGTCACAGAAGAGACGAAGAGCCCCGCAGGGGGGCCACAATTCCGGCCACACTTTCTGTCCGCACCGTCGACATCCTTGGCACACCATATTCGAAGGTGTACATAGTTGTGGTCTCACCCCTCTCCCCTGTCCCGCCTGCCAGCTTCCGTGCGCTTCCCAGGAATACCTAGAAATTCACGTTCGACCCCCCATTCCTCGACCCGCTCTTCACCTTTGCCGCTTTGCGGTTGGTCTGCTGGGATTCTTGGCCTTGCCCTCGGGACAGTATCCTTCTCCTCCCTGTTCCCCCTGTGGGCTCCCCGTCCCCCCTGTTTGAGACTCCGGTCCTCCTTTCACCCTCTGTTGGCCTCCAGCGAAGCGCGATCAGGCAACAAGCTGCATAAGCAGAAACAGCCGAAGCCAACAGAACACGACAGAAATCATCAGGACGGAGGCTCGGAGGAGGAACAGAAGACAGCAGAAACATAAACGTTCGAAACTCCGCGCGGATCTGTCGGCTCGGCGCTGGGGCGCCCCTGGCGGCGCCTCCAGCGCGGCCCCTGGCGCGCTCCGCGCGGGCCGGGGGAGGGAGGCGGGGCCCAGCGCCGATCCAGCAGAGCCGCGCGGAGCTTCGAGCGTTTGTGGTGCTGCTGTGGTCTGTTCCTGGAAGCCTCCGTCCTCCGCAGGGCCGGCCGGGAGCGGTCTGGGATGCGGCCCTCGCCATGATGGCTCTCGGGTTAAGTCGGGCCTGTCCCTCTACAGGAGGACTATCAAGAAATAGTCGAATAAATGATCTGGGGACGATGTGTGGAGTAGTTTCGAGCATTCTTGGAGTATGTTTTGATTATTTAATCGCTTCGCTCATTCCGCCGGCCCGTATTGTGCCATCGCAGGCGTTTGCTTGCGCGTTCGTGGCCTCTTGGAGCCTCGGTGGGGCCGTTTGGGGCCTCTTGGCGCCTCTTTTTAGGCCTCTTGGAGAACTCGGGAGGCCTCCAGGGGGCCTCCTGAGCTCTCGTGACGGTCTCTTGGGGGGCTTTCGGCGGGCTCTTGGCGGTATTTGTTGGTCCTCTTGGGGCCTGGGGCCTGACGTTGTTGGTCCTCTTGGGGCCTCACGGGAGCTTATTGGGGCGTCTTGGGGGTGTCTTGGAGAGTCTCTTGGGGCCTCTTTCGGGGTCCTGGGCGCCTTCTGGGGCGGAGGGCTCGATTTTTCAGTTCTCGGTTCCCTTCTTGAGCCCCTCTTGGGCCCGTCTTGGGGCCTCTTGGTCCGCCTTGGGCAGCACTTGGGCCGTCTGGGGGGCGCTCTTGGGCCGCTCCGGGGCCGTCTTGGGAGCCTCGTGGGCCGTCTTGGAGCAGTCTTGAAGGCCTCTTGGGCCCTCTTGGAGCGTCCGGAAGCGAAAAGGCCAGAACGCAAAAAAACATAGAAAAAACCAAAGAAAATCAACGATTTTGGCAACTTGGGGCCCTCTTCGGAGGCCTCTTGGAAGGCCCTTGGAGCGTCTTGGAGGCCTCTTGGGCTGTCTTGGGGCCATCTGGGGCGTCTTGGAGTATGTTTTGATTATTTGTAGCTTTTCGTCCAAGATCCCCTGTAGGGGGACAGGCCTGACCTAACTCTCGGGTGATCGGGGGTTCGGTTGTGAGCGGTTTTTTGGTTGCACGTCGGGGACACGCAAGAGTCAAGGAGAGGAAAACACACCCAGACACAATGAATCGTCGACTCCCGGGAAGATGTATGAACATATCGGAAGTGTGGGGGGAAGACGATATCCCAGAAGATAGTGAAAACTATGGAGATTCCTGGGATCTGTGTCTATTGATTTGTGTGTGTGTCTGTGTGTGTGTGTGTGTGTGTCCTCGCGTCCTTTCAAGAGTGACCTTTCGCGGGAGTGGCCTGTAGTGCAGCCACTCGGGGGGGGGGCGGGAGCCGAACCCAAGCGCTCGTGCCGCAGTTTTCGCACCGCGCAGCTTTCGGCAAGCCGTGTTACATTATACCCCGCCCCAGCCCCTCCCCCCCCTAAACTGCCCACTATCGCAGAAAGCAAAGAAACGCGTTCCAGCACACGCTGCTGGCATGCCCTTCTGCGTCCCACGTCGTCACACCCACCCTCGAGCCTCGATGCCACGCCTGGCAGGAGGCGCACGGGCCGCATGCCGCCGCGCTTTCAGGGCGTCCCCGGACCCACCCTGTCCAGGTTACCTGCCGGGGGCGCGAAGATGTCCGTGCTTCGCGCGTCGCGGTCTGGGCCAGAGCGGCCGCCCATCCCGAGGTGGGCAGCGCGGGGGTGCCTTGAGGTCTGCGAAGATGGCCGAGCCTCGCGGGGCGCGATGCACGAAAAGGGGTAACCCAGGCCGTGCGCGCCTCCAATCGGCCCTCGATCTTCGAATTCTCGATCCCCTGTGAGGATGCGGCTCCTGGGAGGTTGAATTCAGCACCAGCGCTGGTGTATCTGTGGTCGAAAACCGGCCGACTGGCAGAATCCTGTGCAAGTCCTGTTGATCCCGCTAACCCCGCCTCACTCCAGCTCAATCCTCAAGCTTGATATGTGCCAGTCCAGCACAGCTCTGCCCTTCATTCGGGCTTCATAGTTTATACTCGTGCTTGTATCTTCCAGGAGTTGAGGAGGAGGAGGAGAAGGAGGAGGACGAGTTGCGGAGTTGAGGACTTGAGGAGTTGCGGAGTTGTGGAGTTTTGGGGGAGGAGGAGGAGCAGGAGGAGGAGGAGGAGGAGGAGGAGGAGGAGGAGGAGGAGGAGGGAGGGAGGGAGGGAGGGAGGAGGAGGGAGGGAGGGAAGGAGGGAGGGAGGGAGGGAGGGAGGGAGCAAGAGAGGAGGAGAAGGAGGAAGGGAGGGAGGAAGGGAGGGAGGGACGTCGCGCCTCGCCCAACGCGGGTGGAGACCGAGCGGCTGCCCTCCTCCTCCTCCTCCTCCTCCTCCTCCTCCTCCGCTCTCCTCCTCTCTCCTCCTCTCTCCTCCCCCTCCTTCTCCTCCGCCTCCCCCGCTCCTACTCCTCCCCCCCCCATCCACGGAGGGAGGAGGATCCCGATCTCGGTGATGGCGGTCCTATTCGGGCCTCCCAGGTGACCGAAAGATTGCCACCAACGCCGAGAGCCAGGATCAGCTTCCCCTTGTAAAGGGCAGCTGCTGGTGCTGGTGCTGGTGCCCGTTGTCCAAGCCTCCGAAAGAGACCTGGGCTGCGTGTGCCGCCCGGGTCTCGATCCCCTCGATCCCCGGCCGCCCAGTGCCGCCCATCGATCCCAGTGCCGCCCATCGGCCCTCGATCCCCGAGTCCGTGACCAAGTGCTAAGCCTGCCAGCTGCAGGCGCGCTTCGAGGTCTGAGCTTCGGCCGCCAGCGTTTCAGAATTCCGACCTGCAAGGGTAGGCTTCATAGGTCAGAAAGCCACCCACCAAACCAACCCAACCCAGCCCGAAGGCCCAAACGGACCCTCGATTTCCAGTGGGGGGGGGGACGGGGAACATCGAACAGACACCCACGTGACACCCGTGCCCCCCCGAACCCGAAACTTGGGGTCTTCGGGTTAGGTTCGGGTGGTCTGGTAGGTAGTCAGTATGATGTTGCCTACCCAGACATCCGACGATGCGATCGTGTCAGTGCGCGGGTCCCGACCCCTTCCCCGTGCCAGTTCTTCGCCCCAGGTCTTCTTCTGATGGTCCCACGGGGCCCAGCCCCCATGGCCCCAGGATGTCGCAACCGTGGGAAAGGGCCTGGATTGACGCAATCATGCCGTCGGAGATCTGCCTGGTTGCCTGCTCCAGGCCTCCCGGATGGAGTCGGAGCAGATGGCGTCGGAGGGTCGCTCCGCATCGGCGATGCGGATCGATGTGGAGTCCGTTGTTCTTCACGCCGCCGTCGCCGACGCGCCGCGGACGTCGCCCGTGCATCGCCGATGCTCTGGGCAACGTCAGACTCGATTCAGCCAGAACTTCGGTTTGCCGACGTTGTTTCACGAGCGCGTCCTGGATTTTGACGGTCCAGTTGTCGTGGGATGTTTGCAGCAGGAGCTCGCGTCAATTTTCAGATAGGGTCTCGTCATTTTCATTGATGACCCCATCGGGCCAACCCTTGTCCCCCGAGCCCGAGTCGTACGTCTCCCCGACATGCGTCGATGATGCACCGATGATGCGGCGCGATCGCCGGAACCCCTCGACTTCGACCCCATCTACTCTCGGGTTGACCCAAAAGGGGGTCCAGCGACAAGGGGGTGGTGCAATAGATTTGGTGCAATAGATTGGTGGGGTTGCAATGCGTCTGTGGCGTGCAATACATTCCGGGGCGCAAATGTGTTACTGGATTTTCGCGTGCAATACGTGACTTGTAACACCATGCAATACACATCTCCGGCGCAGTACATTTGCAACACAATTGCCCCAAATCTATTGCACCACCCCTTTTCAGCTGGACCCCCTTTTGGGTCACCCAAAACCCTCTTGGGCGGTCTCTGGGCCCGCTTGGGGGCGTCGTGGGGCCGTCGTGGGGCGGTATGGGGGGCCGCGCGGGCCGCCCGGGGCTTGCACGACCTCCTCCTCCTCCTCCCCCTCTTCCTCCTTCTCCTCCTCCTCCTGGACCCCCACTACTCGGAGGCCCGCATCGATCCCCCGCCGGAGGAGGTACATGGACCGCCTCCAGCTGCGGCCGCCGCGCGCCTCGGCCGACGACGAGCGGCGGCGGGCCACCGAGCTGCTGGCGCGCCGCTGCTCCGCCCTCCCCTCGGTGGTTCAAAGGTGGGGTCCTGAGGGATGGGGTCATAGGGATATCAAGGGATCCAAGGGTGGATTTACGTATACATGGTTCATTTTTACTGTTTCGACGATTCTTTGATTTTCGGGCGGCAAACATCCTTTCATTTCTAACTGTTCTATCCTGGGCCTCTTCCTGGCCACTAGGCGGCCAGGAACAATTCGAATCGAGCACAATTCGAAATGAGCACGATTCGCAATGAACGACGTGTAGTGTGAGGCGCCTCGTCCTTAGAACCCCATCTCTCAGGACCCCATCTTTGAACCACCGATCTCCGCACCGCGCCGCGCCCCCTCCCTCGGCCGACGGCCGTCGGTCCTGTGGTTCCACAGGGGACCCCAGGGGGAAAGGGACTTTTGATCAGAGGAGGATAAGGTGCCCATACCGCTACCCTTCGCTCGTTTTCCCCTTTGGGGCCTCCTGGGCGGCCCTCGTTAGCACCGCTGGATTCGCCAGGGAATTATCGTCAGAACGCACCCCGGGAGAGGTCAGGGTAGTAGCGGTAACGGTACCTTTCTCCCTCCCCATTTGAGACGGCCGATGCCGATTTCTCAAGTCCGCTCGGCTTCGCCAACAAGGTCACCGCATGACGCTTTCACCCGCGCGATTCGAAGTCTCAGATGCAGCTCCGCGGTCTCAGAAGTCCAATTCGCTGGCGTCCCTTTAGGAAACGGATCAGTCGGGCTCCGGCCACACACCCCGACCTCCCCGGCTCGCGGGCGATGCATTCCAGGCTTCCCTCACGGAGCCGAGTGCAGTCGGGCCGAGGGGTACAAGGTCGAGGTCGGTCCAGGGAGGGTGTCCTGTTGTTATGCGTGCTTGTTGGATGTTCTCGTGCACGCTGGGGGGAGGGTACCCTTGGATGTGTTGTTTGTTTTGGCCGACGGAGGGTCCCATGTTTTTGAGGGATGTTCTTCTGGCCTATGTCCGACTGTAGATGGAGTCGGAGGACCGCAAGGGCATCGCTGATGCATCGGCCATGCGGCTCGATGCGGAGCCCGATCTTCTCGACGCCGACGTCGCCGATGCGTCGCCGATGCGTCGCCCACGTCGCCAGTGCATCGACAGTGCATCGGCGATGCATCGCCGATGCACTGGCGATGCATCGGCGATTCGGCGCGATCCTCTGACCCCATCTACTCAGACCCCATCTGGAAGGCCTCTATAATATTTCGTCATTTCAGTCCGGGCGTATCTCGTATCTCTGAAGTCTGCGGAGGTTTTCGAGTCCGGGCCGAGTCCAGCAGCCGCGACCCGCCGAAAGCGATCCGGCGTCGCCCAGATCGGCCCGAGCGGCCGCCAGGGAGCCGAGGTCGGGCCCGAAGGCCAGATCTCCGACGAGATGACGCCTTCAATCCGGGCGTGTCGTTGGATGTCGGGCCCTGGGCTCGGGCCCCGGGACGTGAGAAGCGCATCCGGGGCCACAGACTGGCCCGAGGGAAGGGGTCGGAACCTCTGGGGCCGCGCGTTGACATACTAGTCTCGACACTGAGATGCAGTGGAGACTCATGCCAAGAAACCCCCTGCTCGCCTCAAGGGTGCCCTGGGTTTCTTGGGCTTCGACGGTGTTGTTATGGAAAGCGTGACGCTCCCACACTGACAATAAATGGACGTCCTGGGGTCTCGGGGTGAGATTTCTTGTGGTATATTACGTGTGGTCGGGCCCCTACTGTAAGGACCGCTGGGTTCAGGAGGAGTGTTGGTTTTCAGGCCGCTCCTTAGATCTAGGTCGGGAAGCGAAATTTGTTTGTGACCCAGGCTCTCCGTGGCCACCGTGGCTAGAAGCAATCGACCTTTCTATACAGTAGGAGCTCGACCACAAGAAACCTTGCACAAGAGACCCAACCCTGAGACCCCAGGACGTCCATTTTATATGGTGTGGGAACGTCACACCGCGGCTTACGTTGCTGAACCATCGAAACCCAAGACACCCAGGGCTCCCTGGAGGGAGGCATGCAGGGTGTTTCTTCGCATGGGTTTTCACTGTATTTCTGCGTCCCCCCAGGGGGGCCGCGCACCAAAGGTCGCTCTTGCCCACGGCCACTCCTGCGCGCAGCCGACGACCGGCCGGGACTCTGGGCGGCCTGGCTTCTCCATCCCTCGGAGACTGAAGCAGGATGTACACGTGAGCATGCGCTGCTGGAGGTCCGCGCGAATTTCTCGGATCGACGCTGGGCCTTTTTTTGTTGTTGGCACGAGAAAGGGAAACAACCGTGGCATTTTCGGGAAGGGCCCTCGGGGGAGAACTCTGTGTCCATCAATAGTTTTGGGGCCCCGGACTACAGGTACCCCCCGGACTACAAATACCCCTCCCCCGGACTACAGGTACCCCCCCCCCCGGACTACAGGTACCCCCCCCGGAATACAGATACCCCCCCCCGGACTACAGGTCCCCCCCCCTGGACTACAGGCACCCCCCCCGGACTACAGGTACCCCCTTAGCCCCTGGAACTACAAGCCCCCCCGCATTCGCTACGTAGTCTCTGGAAACCAAAGCGGCCCGCCAAGATGCGTCCGCACATTTTCACTGAGGCGTGCTAAGGAATTCGCCATCGTTGGGCCAGCGGTCGGGGCTGAGCACTCTCGACGGACGAGTGGGCACGGAAACGAGAAGATAACGAGGAACGAAACGATACATCTACAAAGAAGCAGAAAAATAAGCAGGGGAACGGACGAACAAAGAGAGAGAGAGAGAGATAGGAAGAGAAACGCAACAGACACATAATGATTGTCGGAATGACGGGAAGAGAGAAAAGGAAGGAGCGTAAGTAGGGAAAACGATGGCGGGAGGACGGCGAGATAGTGAGCATCGTGACGAGGCACCTAGAAGCCAGCTGAGTCGGCGCTCAGGTTTCGCACACATTGTGCGCTTGCTTGGCTGTGACCTATGCAGACAGCGCAATCATGCAATATCTGGAAAGTTGTCATTGTCATGATACAGAGTGTCTGTGCGTGCGCGCGTGTGCGTGCGTGTGTGCTTGCGTGTGCGTGTGTGCGGTTCCGTGCTGTTGCGTGCGCGCGTGCGCGCGTGCGTGTGAGTCTGTGCGTGCATACGCGCGTGCGCGCGGGCGTGTCGTGTGCAACGATGCGCGTGAGGTCCCGCGCGCGTAAGTACTAATACTAAATACCCGCGTGCGTGGAACCACGCGTGCTTTGAGGCTTGACCATATGCCCCCCCCCCCCCTGGACTACAAGTACCCCCATGCGCGCCCACCCCGGACTACAGGTACCCCCCCCCCGGACTACAGGTACCCCCCCCCCGGACTACAAGTACCCCCCCCCGGACTACAGGTACCCCCCCCCGGACTACAAGTAACCCCCCCCCCGGACTATAGGTACCCCCCGCGGACTACAGGTACCCCCAGAACTATTGAGGGACACAGAGAACCCACCGACCTCGACATGATCACTTTGGTTGTGGTTATGATCGATTTGGCCATGCTTGGACGTCACATCGACCACAACCAGTACGAAGCTGATTCCGATGTTGCGAGAACTTTTGGCATGCGCAAGACATCCCCCAGGGTGTGTCCTCGATGTGGTTGCGGTCGCTCGCTGTCCCCGCACCGGCGTCTCCCGCGCCGCCCCCCGCCGCGCTTCGCACGCCGATGAGTGGAAGGGGGTCCAGCGCCGATACATGGAAAAGCTCGGGCGGACCTCCAGGATAGCATACATATATATACACATATATATATATCAATAATACAACAATGTATATGTATGTATATGTATATAGATGTATATATATATGTATATATGTATGTTTAGGTAGATGTTTCTCATACTCCTCGTTCCCTGGCGGGTTGCCTCTGTTCTGGCCTCTGGGAGCCCGTCTCTCTCTCTCTCGGGCCGTCGGGCCACCGGGGGCGAGCGGGCGAAGCCAGGGCGGGCAGACTGCCCCCCGGGGGAGGGGGTCCAGATTTCTGGGGCCAAGGGTCTAGGCCTCCCAGATGGGGTCGGAGTAGATGGGGTCGGAGGGTCGCGCCGCATCGGCGATACATCGCCGATGCGGCTCGATGCGGAGCCCGATTTTCTCCACGCCGACGTCGCCGATGCGTCGCCGACGTCGGCGATGCATCGTCGGTGCATCGCCGATGCATCGCCGATGCATCGCTGATGCATCGCCGATGCATCGCCGATGCGGCGCCATCCTCCGACCCCATCTACTCCGACCCCATCTAGGAGGCCTCTAAAGGGGCTGGGCAGCCGACTCATCGGAAGATCGAGGTTCGACCTGGGTTTCAGTCGGGCCTGTCCCTCCACAGGAGGAGTATCCCAAAGTAGTCCAACAAGATATCATGGGGCCGATGTTTCTAGCATGTTTTGATCAGCCTCTTTTTGAAGCAGCAACAAGTATTCTTAGTTTTTCGCTCAGAATCTGCCTGTAGGGGGACGCCCGACCTAAACCTGGGTATCTTCTAGAAAAACGACGCCGTAAACGTAGAATTTCGAGGGTCCGTGCGGATTTCTCGGACCACTTTATGCAACACCCAGCCAGAACGGGCCGCGCCCAGACAGCGCATCGGCAAGGAAACGTATGGTAGCCAGCAACCCAGGTGGTGCAGCTAATACAGCGTAGGTGGTTCAATGCATGTGGCGCAGTCAGTGTGGTGCAAAGCAGGTGCAAATCAATGGAAGCAATTCAAAACAATGCAAAGCAATCCAATGCAGTGCACGGCAATGCAACGCCGTTCAATTCAAAGCAATGCAGAGCGATTGCAAGCAATGATAATCAATGCAAAACAATGCGCAGCCATGCAATTCTAAGTGCAAGGCAATGCCAATCAATGCATATCAATGCAAAGCAATGCCAATCTATGTAAATCAACGCAAAGCAACGCAAGCCAATGCAACACAATGCAAAGAAATGCAAAGCAATGCGAAACGATGGCAACTAATCAAAAGTTACGTTAGGCAATGCCAGTGGCTGCAGAGCAATGTAAAACAATTCTAACTACTGCAACGCGCAATTCAATGCAACGGAATGCAACCGAATGCGAGGCAATGCAAAGCAATGCAAACCAATGTAAAGCAATGCAAATCGACGCAATGCAGTGTAAAGCAGTGCAACGCGAATGCAAGCCAATGCGTTTGCAACGCGATGCGAAATGATGTACACAGCAGGGCAGAGCAGTGCAGTGCGCTTGGAATGTAATGCGATGCGATTGCAGTGAGGTGCGATTGCCATGCAACGTGGGGGGAGGGCGTCATGGTGGCGGCGGCGACGGACGGAAGCGGGGCCGCCGGGCTCGCCCACGGGCCTCGATTTGGAAGCGTGGCGCGGCGACGGGCGGCAGCGAGGGCGCCGGGGCCGCGCACGCGCCCCGTCCGGGAGAGGGGAGAGAGGGGGCCGCGGAGTGCATCCGGGGTGGACAGGGTCCCCACCCTGACGCGCCGAGTAGTGAATTGTCCGTTCTCGGTGCTCGGGAGGGCGCCGCGGCCGTCATTTTTTAGGCTTGCGCCCGCCAAGTTTGGGCCCGCCAGGTCGTTTTCACTAAACCGCGTTTTACTAAAGGGGGTTCGGTCCATCCCCGAGTGCAAGCACAGTTTGGGGAATCTTGTATGAGGCCAAGAACCTCATGCGAAAAGCTGACGGTTGAGTGCAAGCACGCCGGAGCGCAGCCTCTGCTGATAGCAGCTGGTAGGCGGCGGGGGACAGTACAGCAGAACGGGAGCATATAGTGGTTCTACTGCAGTGGAGGTCGCCCATGCTTGCGGCATATGTTCAATTTTCTTGAAGAGACATTGTCCATTCGACAATCTTCGAACATCGTGTGTCTAGGAAGCGGCGTACGTTGCTGACCTCGATCGAGTTTTCCGTAAAAAAAATGTTGTCTCTTCAACTGGGCTGGATGGACGCCCGACCTTCATTGTTCATCTCTCGGCACCGCAATTTTCGTAAGCCGCATTTTTTCTGTATTTTGTCCGCCAGAGTCCTTCTTAGGGAGACGCAAGCAAGCATCCATGATTACATTACAACGCGGGCTCCAAACAGCGAATTAGTGCAACCTGCACTCGAAATCAGTAACTACATTGCGGCGCAATGTGGCAATAAGCAAACCAACGCTGCAACATATTGTAAAGCAGTGCGAGCCAATGCAGTGCACGGCTGGGCAAATCAAGGAGCGTAGCACAAGGCATTACACCGCAATGCATAGCAGCGCAACGCAAGCTGAGGCGTAACCCATGGCCCAGCCTGTTGAATCTCTTAGTGGGAGCGCCCAACCGATGGGCACAACCTATACCCCTCTGGCGCAACCAAAGGACTCACGCGATGACGTCCACAGCTTCTTGGTGGCATGTGCGCGTGACGCAAGGGGACGAGCATCTGGCTGGAGCCAACGGCCCAACCCATCGCCGCGAGGGGTTCATGGGCGCGAGCGCGCAGCCTGTGACCACCGCAAGTTCCCGGGCTTGACCGCGCCACCTGTCGGCGCCGCTTGCGGCGCGATCCTCCGGTACAGCCTGTGGTCACCAGAAGTTTTCGGTGCAGCAGCCGCCGCTGTCCCTGCCGGCGGGGCTGGCCGCGCCACTCGCTCCGGGCGTGACCCGTCCCCCTGAGCGGCTCTCACCTTTCTCCCCCCTGACCGCCAGCCCTGCCCCCTCTTCCGTCTCTCTTGCATTGTGGCACAGTTCGCTACAAAGGTGCCCCCGTCTGGTTAGCGCCTCCGCCAGCGCAGTTATTCTGTCAATGTAGCCGCCGACGCAACAAAAACGTGTGCACCAGGAGTCCTCTTCGAAACGTAGAGGTTTCCTCCTCCGGCCGCTTTCTGCCCGCAGCGCGGCGTGCCCCGCCGGCAGAAATACCCGAACACGTCATCGACCGCCAGCGCTGCGGACCGAACGTTGGTGGACTCCAGCTGGAAGGAACAACAGGAGGAGGGGTCACGACGAGGCATCGGCAAAAGGGAGGAGGAAGAAGAGGAGGACGAGGAGGAGGAGGAGGGGGAGAAGAAAGAGGAGGAGGAGGAGAAGGAGGACGTATAGGATGTGGATGATCAGGGGGAAAGAGGAGGAGAAGGAGGAGGAGGAGGAGGCGGAGGAGGAGGCGGAGGCGGAGGAGGCGGAGGCGGAGGCGGAGGCGGAGGCGGAGGCGGAGGCGGAGGCGGAGGAGGAGGAGGAGGAAGAGGAGGATGAGGAGGAGCAGGAGGAGGGGGTTGAGGATGATGATGATGATGATGATGATGATGATGATGATGATGATGATGATGATGATGTTGATGATGCTGATGATGCTGATGATGATGACGATGATGATGATGATGATGATGATGGTGATGGTGATGGTGGTTAGTACGATGATGTTGATGATGCTAATGATAATGATGATGCTGATGGTGGTGATAGTGATGGTGGTGATGATGATGATGATGCTGATGATGATGATGATGCTGCTGCTGCTGATGATGATGATGATGCTGATGATGATGATGATGATGATGATGATGATGATGATGATGATGATGATGATGATGATGATGATGATACGGATGATGATGATTGATGATGATGATGATGATGATGATGATGATGATGATGATGATGATGATGATGTTGAGGAGGAGGACGAGGAAGAGGATGAGAAACAGAGAAGGACCCGCGCACCCCACGGCCACAGCCCCTGGTGGGCGAGAGCGCGCACCCTGCCTGGGCAGCGCCCGTGGCGCGGCTGTGGCCTTCCCGAGGTCTCTCTGCGAGGGCGCCGCAGCCTCTGCAGAGGACCCTGCGGTGGCCTCTTTGGTGCGGGCAGGGTCCTGATGGGCCAATGTTGTACCACCGCCACCATAGGTAGGACGGGCGGGGGTCCTCCTTCCTCTTTCTCCTCCTCCTCCTCCTCCTCCTCCTCCTCCTCCTCCTCCTCCTCCTCCCCCTCTCCCACATATGGTAGCGGTGGTGGAAAGTCGGTCCGCTCCCTGGTGGATGTGCCGGGCGGTCAGAAGCTAGTTTTTTGGGGGTACCGGCGCAGCCCCATCGTATCAGCCCCGGGTTTTGAGCCCTCACCCTCGGTCGGGCCATCACGAGGAGGACCTCGGGGGGCAGGGACACGATGTCGATGACCAAAATGTTGCTTTATTTATTTAGTGAATAAAGAAGAGGAGGAATAATAATAACTTTAGTCTTCAGAGCAAATTCAAATTATATTACTAAGAAGAGGAAGACGGAAAGACATTTTTGGGGTCATGGTCAATGCCGGCCGTCGTTGATTCGCGAGGATGATCCACCAATTTCAAGGGGGGAACACAGACTCAATGAATCGCCGACTTTCAGGGAGGTATGGGAGAATATGGGAAGTGGGGGGAAGACGAAAACCCAAAAATCTGGGAGAATATGGGGAGTCTTGGGATTTGTTTTTATTCATTTGTGTGTCCTTGGGTCCCCTCAGAATTGGCGATGACCAAGATGGGCGATGACCAAGATCGGCACCGACGTCTCCGCGCTCAGTCTTGGTCATGGGCATGGTTTTGTTTTCCTTTTCCTCCAAGGCAGGGGTGATCTGGTTTGCGGGCTGGGCCCACGATTTCGATTCGACTCGGATTGGTTCGACCCGGCACCGTCGGCCAGGGCCAGCCAGAGCCCAGCGATCCAATCCGATCTCGATTACATTCTTCATCGAGCACAAAGGAGCCCCTGACCCTAATAACACGATGAAGACGTGGCCTCAATGAGGTTCCCGTCTTCGCATTAGGGATAATACTTCTGGGCGGTTTGGTCCGACACATCTGCAGAGAAGACCCTATATCCCTACTGTTTGTGGCCTCCCTAGCTTAGGTCCCCTCCCAAATGGTTCGGTGTACTCTTCTTGTTAATCAATGCGGGCCGATTCTCTGGCCATCCGACCCGTTCCCGATCCGCGCCGAATTGGCGACTCGATCCGACGCAGACCTTCACGGACGAGGCGCGAGGTGGATGAGGGCGGGGAGCAGGCGCTGGCGGCACCCCACGCGCGCGCCTGCGCGCCGCTTGCCCCGCTTCTTCGCCGCGCCGCGCGGTGCGCAGCTGGACCTCCTGGAGGAGATGCGCATCCCCGCGCTGTCTGTGCACCCCTTCTTCCGGAGCCTGCGCGTCAAGCACCCGGACCTGGCCCGTGCCCCGTAGCTCGAAGAAGAGAAAACGCCACAAACATAAACTTTTGGCGCTCCGAGCAGATTTCGTCGATACGCGTTGGGCCCCTTCCCCCGGAGGCGCCTGGCGCGCCGCCCCTGGCGCGCTCGGGGGGCCAGCGCTGATCCAAGAACTCCGCGCGGAGTGCCAAACGTTTATGTTTGTGGCGTGTTCTCTTCTTCTTCTGCATCATCTTCTTCTTCTTCTTCTTCTTCTTCTAGCGGGGTCCCCCTCGATGCGATCAGAAAGGTTCGGTCTCGATTCCGGCCCGCCCGATCCGACTCGATGCCGACATTCCGAGGATTTGGCGCGGTCCGATGCATGATGTGTGGCGTTGCTTTGTGCATCCTGCCGGGCACAGCCGCAGCCGATCCGACTCGATTTCGATCCCGTGCCGATGCATCCCGACCCGATGCACATTTCGATTCTATACGATTTACCGATGCGATGCTGACTGATCTTGCCTTAGTGGGCTTTCGAAGCGACAGGGCCGATTCTATTGTTTTGACATTTCCGCTTTGCAGTTTTTGTTGCCGGTTCCAGCGACGTCGATCCCTCCATTCTGTCGTTGTTTTGGGGGGAGGGGGGAGGGTCCGCCTCTCGTGCCATTCCCACTTCGGTTTTTGTTCCTACGGTTTTCGGAGCACTGTCATGATCAGAGACAGATACGCCGAGAAAGACAACAAAACGGCCCTGCTGTTTCGAAGGCCCACTAAGGCCGTGCCCAGTGCGAACAGAATAATAGCCGGCATCAGCATGATGTTTCGGTGCTCCACGCGGATTCCTCGGATCGCGCGGACTTGCGACCAGGAGCGTTTGGATTTGTTTTAGGGATTGTATCGCCGATCTATCGGTGGTTCATCGCAGATTCCAGCTAAATGTCCCATCCCCTCAGCCAGTCCCCCTTAGTCTTTCCACTCAAGAAGGGTCCCGAGGGGAAGAGATTCTATGCTCGAGGCTTGAGGCATCGAGGTCTGACGGTTTGGGCGTTCTTCTGTTCTTTTCGCCCTCGGGTTTCTTCCCGCCAAGGCCCGATTCCCCTCGAAGTTCTGGTCAGGGCGCTTCCCGAGAGAGGTCAAGGCCTAATTTTTGTCAGGCCCACCGGCGATGAGAAGTGGGGGTCCCGAGGGCAAGAGGTCTACGTTCTCCTCGCCGGGCCACAGGACCGTCAGCAGACAACCCAGGATGACACGCTTGTCTGGGAAAAGGCCCGACGACGAGGCCCCTGGCCTGGCCCTGCGGCTTCCTCCCCCCTCCTCCGCCTCCTCCTCCTCCTCCTCTTCCTCCCTCTCCTCCTCCTCCTCCTCCTTTTCTTTCCCCTCCCCTCTCTCCTCTCCCTTCCTGTGGCGTGCCTGGCCCGTGCACTGTTGCACGGCTGGCACGCGCAGCGTTCTGAAGCCGCCGAGACTGCACCGGAGCACTTTGGTCGGGGCCCCTGTGCAGCATGGTTTTTTTCAGCAAGGTCGATGTGTGTGTAATGGCGGAAACCATATGGCAAACGATGACCAGGGGATCAAGGCCTGGGAAAGCAGCCAAGACGTTGAAACAAGGAAGTGTGTGGGTTCGGAGGGGTCTTGCTGCTTCTTGGGCCTCCCATGGTTGTCCCTCTAGTGCTCTTCGGGCAGCCAGGCGCTCTTGGGACACTGAAGGGACTTCGCTCCTCCTTTGGCGTTCCTATGGTAGTAGCTTCACTGTGCGCACCCTGGCAGGAAAGGAGGGTTCAGCTGCCATGGCGGAGACAGTTTTTACGTCGGCGGCTAGGCAGAGTAACTGCGCTGGCGCAAGGGCAAGGACAACGGGGATGCCGTTGATGCGAACCGTGCTACCATGCAGGAAAATGGAAGGGCCCGCCGATCAAGGTCTATCGAGGACGAGGACGGGGACGGGAACGAGGACGAGGACGACGACGACAATGAGGACGAGGACGAGGACGGGAAGAGGAACGACGACGACGACGAGGAGGACAGGGGTGGCGCCATGACGGAAACAGGCTGTCCTGGCGAGCGGGCGTGTTGTGGACCGGCCAGGTTCCTGCGCCCAGGCCTCCGCCGCCGCGGCACGGCGCCCGACGCCACAGCGATGGGTACGAAGCGATCGGTGGCCTGGGATCGCAGGCCAGTTGTCGCCCCGGATACCCGACTCCCTCCCCAAAGCAGCCTGCTCAGAGAGGGGGGGAAGCTCGGGGATGCACCACCCGGGGCGCCACTCGGGCACACCCTCAGCGAGGAGGGGCGCCTCCACACGTCGTGCATCCCTGAGTTGGGTCACCATCGTTTCCCGCTCGGGAAGCCCAGAATCGGGTATAGCCAGGACCCAGGGTAAGGGGACCCGGTTAGTAGTAGGGCCCCGGAGCCCCTAAACCGGCCAGGATCGCTAAACCAGGTCTGCCGTAGCTGGTGCTTTTCGGGTGACGGCAGCTCCGGTCAGTGGAACGGGGCGGGGGGGGCGTTCCCCAGTACACATCACGAAGCCAGGTCCCACTGAACCCGGTCCCGCCAATGCCCGACACACCGTCGGGGATAGGGGGTGCCGTGCCGCGCGTGAGTCGGGGGCAGCGTGCGGGGCGGACGGGCTCAGTGGGGGACGCGTCGACCCCGAATCGCTCGCTGATCGCCGATGTGGTCGGAGGTGGGTGGACCTCCTGCCCTGACACGTCGATGAGCGGCTTGGCCGTTCTCGGTTCGCGAGAGGGCGTCGCGGCTGTCATTTTTGCGGGCCAGGTCCGTGGGTTCCGGTCCCGGGCCGTTTTCACTAAATGGTGGTTGGCTAACGGGAGGTTTGTCCACCGCCGATATGGGCCTGATGGCCCAACCCCCCAGTAGCGTGCGGATTCGCATTCGGGGGCCTATCGTTTGTCGGGCGGCGATGCATGGCCGATGCAAGTATCGAGTATGAGATCGACTGCAGAATAAAGTTACCCCAAAATAGAAAATTCAGCCGCATCCGCGAAACGCATACGTAGAGTGGTCCGCCAATTCACGGAGCAGTCTACGCACTGTTCGTGGAGTTGGCGAGCAAAACAGTCATTGGGTGCATCACTTCTATAGTCGATCCCGTATTCGAAGGCTCGACATTTCCCCCCCCGAGCTGGTCTCCCCCCCCCTTTCTACGTCGCTTCTCGCTGGCTGGGTCGGAGGCGGAAGCCGCTCGCCTGCCGCCCCCCCTTCCAGGTCCGCGAGCTCTGCCTGGAGGCGCTGCTGCCGCTGCTCCGGAGTTCCAACGAGACTGTCTTCAGCACCGCCGAGTCGTGCTCCAGGCCACCTGCAGGGGGAACAGACAGTGGATCTCTATACGTACATGAACATGAACATATAAAGGTGTAAATATAGATGTATCAAATCTGACTCCTCCGACTCGATTCGAATCGATTGCGATGGATTCTGATTCCGGTGCGATCCGGTTGCCGATTCCGATTCGGATTCCAATTTCGAAAGCCCCAGCCTGCCGATTTCCGCCGATTCGATTGCTCCCGCCTTGGCTGCAGGTTTTCGCCGATCCGATGCATGTCGATCGCCGATCCGTCTTGTCGATTCGACTTTGGGCTCTCCTGCACCTGGGCTGGCCTGAGGGAGGTTTGCGAGGCAGGAGTCCGAGTGGTTTCGAAGAAGAACAGAAGGCATACGAATAAATTGTTGGAGCTCCGCGCGGGTTTCTTGGATCGGCGCTGGACCTCCCTCCCTGGCGCGCGGAGCGCGCCAGGGGCGGCGCCAGAGACAGCGCGTCGAAAGTTTGTGTGTATGCAGTTTTTCTGTAAGCAGAGCTTTCATGTAGGGATCTCTTCTAAGGAACTGGGCCTGGAGGTGGTTCTTGCAGCTCCGTGGTCGCAGTCGCCGCCCCGTCTCCGCCAGTCGTCTGGACCTGGGGGTCAGTCTGGCGGCTCCGGGGTCGCCGTCGCCGCCCGTCGCCGTCGCCGCCCCGTCGCCACCTCGTCGCCGCTCGTCGTCTGGGCCTAGGGGTCGGTCTGACAGCTCCGTGGTCGCCGTCGGCATTGTGCACCACATATTTTGCTCCACATATATTGCACCACATAGAATGCGCACCCTGCGCACCACATATATCAGACCACATTGCAACACGTAGATTGCGCCACATGTATCGCACAACATAGACTGCACAACGTAGATTGCGCCACACATGTTGCACTACTTATAATGCACCACATAACATGCACCACGAATCTATGGCTCCACAAAGGTTCTCTTTTCTAAAAAGAGAATAGACTCTCCCCCCCCCCCGGACTTATCAGCTCCCCCTGGGATAGTATGATTCCATACATATATATATATATAGATGCACACTCGTTCATCCTAAATATGAAATCATACCATCCCAGCTAGGCCGGTTTCCCCCCCCTGAGGGTCCCTTGTAACAAAAACACTATGCGGTGACATTTTTTGTTCTAACGTAACATTTTTTCACGAATCCCTTGCAACAGATGAGACCAAGTGCGCACGCGCGCGTCGTCGCGCGCGCATGCCGAAATCCTTCAAAAACCTTCGGTGCCGAAAGGATTTCGCAATCGAGTTTCCAAAAAACGTACAACAACACAGGTTTTCGCAACACTGATTTGCTAAACAAGCTTCCGCGCGAGCTCTTGCGAAATCTGAAGAAAACCATTGTTTTTTTTCAAGCTTTCCACAACATGCTACCAAACGGGCGTCGCGCGCGCATGTCGAAATCTGTCGAACGCCCTTGCGCGTGTGCCGTCGCGAGAATCCTCTGCAAAAAATGGGACGAAGTGCAGACGCGCGCGTCGTCGCGCGCGCACGCCGAAATCCTTCAAAACCCATCGGTTTCGGAAGGATTTCAAAATCGCGCGTCCAAAAAACCTACAAAAACCCAAGGTTTCGCAACACGGATTTTCAACAAAAGCGTGCGCGCGCGATCTTGCGTCGTCGTCGTCGTCGTCGTCGTCGTCGTCGCCGTCCTCCCTCCTCCCGCGTCGTTGTCGACGTCGTCGTCGCCTACGTCGTCCTCTGTCTTTCCTCGTGTTCGTCGTCGTCTTCCTCTTTGGCGTCGTGGTCGTTTCCGTCGTCGTTGTCGCCGTGGTCGTCCTTCCTCCTCCTCCCTCGTCGTCGTCGTCGTCGTCCGTCGTCGGCGTCTCGTCGTCGTCCCTCCTATTTCGTCGTCGTCGTCGTCGTCGTCGTTGTCGTCGTCGTCGTCGTCTTCCCTCCTCCCTCGTCGTTGCCGTCGTCGGCGTCGCCGTCCTTCCTCCTTCGTCGTTCGCGTCGTCGCCGTCCTCCCTCCTCCCTCGTCGTTGTCGTCGTTGTCGCCGTCGTCGTCCTCCCTCCTTCCTCGTTGTCTTCGTTGGCGACGTCGTCATCGTCTTCGTCGTCGGCGTCGGCGTCGGCGCCGTTGTCGTCTTCGTCGTCGTCGACGTTGGCGTCGTCGTCGTCGCCGCCGCCGTCGTCGTCGTCGTCGTCGTCGTCGTCGTCGTCGGCGTCGTTGACGTCGTCGTCGTCGGTGTCGTCGTTATCGTCGTCGTCGGCGTCGTCATCGTCGTCGTCGTTGTCATCGTCGTCGTCGTCGGCGTCAGAGTCGTCGTCGTCGTCGGCGTCGTCATCGTCGTCGTCGTCGTCGTCGTCGTCGTTGTCGGCGTCGTCGAAGTCGTTGGAGACGTCGTCGGTGTCGTCGTAGTCGTTGTCGGCGGCGTCGTCATCGTCGTTGTCGCTGTCGTCGTCGGCGTCGCTGTTGTTGCCAAGTGCCATGTGGTACACACGTCACGGTCTTAAGAGATTTTGCAAACCAAGTTGCGGGTGGGTGGGTGGGATGTTTGCGCGAGCAGTGGAGTGGACAACTTCAAGTTGGGCGTTGGTGAATTGCACCACATAGGATGTTCTGTATTGATTGCACCACGGTTTTTGCAATGTGCACTCTGTTTAATGCAAGGGGCATTTCGATCACCATGCGAGGGGCACAGACTGTCGCTGCACACCGTCCGCGGCCCTTTTGGCTCCTAGCGTGGACGCGCAGCTCTCGTTGCGCTCCTCCTTGTCCAGACGGGGCTGCATCGTTCTTGCCCGAGGATGGAGTTCGGCTTCGGCGGTTTTGGCGGTTTGCCGAGGCGCCCGCGGCCCCGGCGGCCACTGCCAGGGGCGAGCCCGGCAGGCCGTTTCCGAGGGCCGCTGCGGCGCCGCTGTCGCGCGGCCGGTCGCGTTATGGGGCTCGCCCTGCAGACCACCCGAGGCGGCTGGCGTCGGCGGCGGTATGGCCGAGGCGGTGGTGGCTGGCGTCGGCGGCGACGCGGACACCACAGTCACGGACTTCGTCGCGATCCCAGAGTCGGTCCTCGCTGAGGTCGATGGCCTGCCCTCGACCCCCATCGTTCTCAGCCGTGCTGTGCGGGCGGTCTGGGCGGTCTCCGAGATGTCGGGGCTGCCACGGCCGGGTTTGGGCGCGCTGGTGCCCCAAGCGGCCCCAGCGCCGCCCTCCTGTGCCCCGCAGGCTGCCAGAGGTATCGCCGTCGGCAGCGCCAGCGGAGCCTCAGAGAAGAACCGCCCCCTCTCACTTCCTCCCTCGACGCGCCTCTAGAGCTTGCTTTTCTGCACCGCCCCCTCCCACTTCCCCCCTCGACGCGCCACAAACGTTTGCTTTTCTGCACCCACGTGAGAGAGGAGGAGGAGGAGGAGGAGGAGGAGGAGGAGCAGGAGGAGGAGGAGGAAGAACTGATGAATCTGGTCGAGAGGCAGGGCCCATTCTCGATCCGATCGATCCGCTCCGATCCGATGCCGAAATCGGAGAGCCTGGTCCGATTCGACATCGATGCCACGGCGATCCGATTCGCCCGCCACGCTTGCGTGGCTTTGCTGCGCACCCGGGCGTGACCGATCCAATCCGATCCGATTTCTGCATCCGTTCCGGTACAGCGCGCAGCCCGGTCTTCGGCGGCGAGCGAGGGGGGGAAGGGGAAGTGAGAAGGAGAAGGCCTTCTCAGAAGGCTCGGAAGTCTCCTGGCCTTCTGAGAAGTGTTATAAGCTTTCCCCGAAGGAACAAGGCAATTGCTCCGAAGGCGCGAGGGTTTCTGAGAAGTCCCGCCGCCTCCCGAGAAGGCCTTCACCTTCTCCTTTCCCCCCCTTCGCTCGTCGTCGAGATCTGGCGTACGTTCCGATCCCATCCGATCTGTCTTACACTCCAGGCGATGCTTAAGAAAACCCAAGTTTTCGGCCAGAGTCTCGATTATTCTTAATGTTTCAATGTAAATCTTAACATTTGAATAGACATTCTGGGTTTGATTTCAAATTCTGAGACTATGAATTTCTTAACCCATGATTTCTAAAGCATTTCGCAGGGTGTACAGTGGAGACCCATGCCAAGAGACACCGTGCTTGCCTCCCGGTGTTGATGGTTTTGATATGGGAAGCGTGGCGTCCCCACGCCAAACATCGAGGGACGTCCTGGGGTCTTGGGGTTGGGTTTCTTGTGGAAGGTTTCTTGTGGTCGGGCCCCTGCTGTATGTTGCTTTTTGTGCGTCAGGGTGGTAGAGATCGCCTCTCTCTCTTTAGGACTCCCCTTGGGGGAGATTGCACTCTGGTGGGTGTCGGTGCCGAGTGTCCGCGCCGAGTGTCCGCGCCGAGAGTCGGTGCCGAGTGGTGTTGCCGAGTGTCGATTCCGAATGTCGGTGCCGTTCGTCGTGGACGCGCCGACTGCCGGCGCCGATCGTCGCTGACGCGGGGGGTCTCTATAAAGAGCTGCGCCCCAAGGCACACACAAAGATTGAGGAGGGAGGAGGGAGGACGGAGGAGAGAAGGGAGGAGG